CACGAGTTAGAACTAACAAATGTTGAATAAAGAGGCGATTTAAGCTTTGGGAAAAATTCCATATGAAAAATTGCCATTTCCACTGGGTCACACAATGGCTCTTTAGAAAGATCTCAAGTTTGACCAGAATTGATGGCCAAGGCTACAACTGCAGAGTGTGCTTTCCACCCAAATTGCCAAACGAGGTTATAATTAGTCTCTGGAGATTTCTTTCAATATCTGAAATCACTTAATAGTAGCATTTGATTTTTATGGCAGCCTTTAGGCAGTTGGCTTGAATCCTGCTTCTACACAGCATAGTCATCAATGCAGGGCTGGGTCTTCTCTGTAGGATCAACAATTTACTCATTGCTTTGTAGTCATTAACTCAGGGCTGGTGTTTGAAGGGTTAATTGATGTGTTACCTGCTGCTGTTGTCTTCATCAATACAGAGCTGGGTCTTCTCTGAAGGGTCAGTGTTGCTGTTAATGTTGTTTAATCAAAATGTGTCAGTAAGGGCTTCATAGCCACAGTTTCTGGGGGAAGTAGAGCATCTCTTTTCAATTTTTTTCCACAATTTGCCCTTTTCTTGCTGGGAATTTGACTAAAAATAAGGAAATTCTCAAACTGCATTGGGAAGAAATGCAATTTCAATACTTTCAATGCAATTGCAATACTTTCTTCAAAGAAATTATTGCAAAATTATGGTCCAGGAATGTCTTAATGTTGAGTTCTTGGGCATGAACATTATGGCTTCCATTTGTTTTCTTGCAGTATTAATTAACATGAATTAATGTGTCAGTACTGTGGGTTGATACCACACCTGACACTCCATAGTGTAAATGCTAAATCCATGCTTGCTCTTTCATTTTTATGGGAAAAATTCCCCCAGACATGCATCCTTCCATGAAAAATGGAGAAATGGAAAGAGAATGGAGATGGAGAAATGGAAAGAGAAATGTCTGATTTCCTGGAACTGCATTTTTCATGGAACACCTCTGATTTTTTCGCTGTGCTCTGAGCACGGACATTGGCAGTAAGAGCTTGTACCAAGGGGTACTGATCACATGCAGCTCAAATCCATCACAGCCTTACTGCAGGCTATTAATACTTTATTAACTCCATTTAAACTCTGCCTTAATGCTCCTGGTGTGACAAGTGGCTCTGCGTAGAAATTATTAAGAAAAGACGGTTTTTAATCGAATTATGGAGTAGTGCTGGGACACGTGTGCAACCCACACTGTGCCCTGAGTAGCCAAATTTCTGCAAATATTCTGTGTGCATTTGCATGCAATAGAATATTGGATCTGGGGGGATATGCTCCCAAACTATCTCTGGGAAAGAAGAGCTTCTCAGGAGGTTGTTTCTACTGAGCCAACCCAAAGCCTGGGGTTTTGAATGAACAACCAAAAGAGGACTGAATTTTGCAGGGGTGAATATCTGAATCTGAATGTCTTAGAGTGACTCTGGTCAGGGGAAGCCCCTGAGTTTTAGACATCTATTCCCATCACAGGAAGAGAAGAGTTTTTCTGGCCTGTTCCTAGCTGTGGGGAAATTCAAAGTTTGCATGGTGAAAAATTTTGCACTGCTGGAAGATTTCTGCCTCAGAGATAGGAACTTACATTTGCTCTTATGGCTGTTTAATCTCAAGCACTCCCTTCCTGCCCGAACACAGAAAAATACTTCTAAAATTCATTTTCTGCTCCTCTTTTCACTTTGCTGGGATGGTTTTTTTGCCTCTTGCTGGTCCCTGAGTATGGAGAGTCAAGGCAGGACATTAATATTGATGCCGACCTCGGTTATTAGGAGCTGCATTTCCGAGTGTGCCGGCAGCATATAAATACTATTACTGGGTAATTAGTGAGCCTCAAGCTGAGGCTGGATTGAGCAGGGCTCTGTGTCCTACTTTTGGGATTGGGCTTGTTTTTTTTTTTGTATTGGGCTGTTGGGGTTTTGCCCCAAGAAAAATCCAAAAATTTTGGAAATGGAAATCCTGACTCAGAAACACCTGGATGCTCAATGAAAGAGAAAGAAGCAAAACAGAGAGGAAAAAATGGAAGAAAAAGTATCTTCCAAGGCTTTTCCTTTTTTGAAAGCCTCCTGTATTTGAAATACAAAATAATAATTTTTAAATTTCCTATTCTTTTTTTTTATTTTAGTTGTTTCGGTCCTTTCTTGCTGGATTTCTTGGTTTGCAAATTCTCTTCCCATGCCCCACTTGAATTTTACTCCTCTGGTGCTATAAAGTTTGGAAAAGCTTCAGTGTTCCCAAAGGGCAAATGCAGCCAGGATTCTCTGGTTGGATGCACCTGAAAAATGGATGCTCCTTGCATTCCTCACTCTCCAGCCCTTTCTGGACACAGAAAACCCTTTTATTTTATTGTCTCCCCCATTACTTCTCCCCAATAAATACAAGAAGGGTTTTCCTATCCAGACAGAGATGGGGAGTCATCCCCAGGGTCACCAGATCCTTCTCTTTACCCCATAGTGTGGCTTTGATTGAAACACCATGTGAATAATTTAGGGGTGTTTTGCATCTTTTATACCTCTGAACTTCCACTAAAAGGGGTTTTGAGTTGCTGCTGCTGGCAAAATAGCGTCTGAAGGTGAACAACCCCTGAATTTTGCATGAGCTAAAAGGGCTGTGAATGGGGAGTTGGGCTTTGCCTCTGAAGTCAGGTGGGTTTAATGCATGAGTTTCATGAATTAGCACGGGAGGAAAGCAGTGGCTCCGTGCTTTGTGGGTAAATCACTGCGGCTCACTGGGCCTGGGGGAATCACTGCAGGTTTTGGCATCACTGCACCTCCCTGCACTCAGGGTTGCAACCCTAACTTCTGGCTCTGTGTTACTTCTGTCCTCCCTTTCTTTTTTAATTTCAGCTCAGTTGCCAGCTTTTCCTCTGCATGGAGATGTTTTGGGTCAAATCATCCCATTTGCAGACCTCATTGGCCAAGGCTTTGAATAGTTTTTCTAGGAGGAGGTGCAGCCTCGTTAGTGGCTCCCCAGCAGGACCGTTCCTGTGTCCCCCTGCTTGGAGGCTCACAGAGCACTTCAGTGGCACTGAACTGAAGGAGGGGAGGATTAGATATCAGAAAGAAATTGTTCCCTGTGAGGGTGCTGAAACCCTGGCACAGAGCAGCTGTGGCTGCCCCTGGATCCCTGGCAGTGTCCAAGGCCAGGCTGGGCAGGGCTTGGAGCACCCTGGGATGGTGGAAGGGAATTGGAAGAATCCTTAAGATCCCTTCCAACCCAAACCATTCTGGGATTCTCTGATTCTCTCACTTCTTTCAGAGCTGACTGGCTCCCAGGGCTGCATGAGCAGCAATATGTGGGCTTGACAGGGTGCCTGTGTCAAGCTGCTGGAAAAGATTTAAAATTCCCCAATAATTTCTTTTCCGCAAAACAAATGAATCTTCAGAAGGGCCTTTCCTCACAGTTGCTAAGCCATTTAATTTATCTGAGTCATTTACAATTTGTGATGGGCCTGTTAATAGCCTGATGCGGGGATCAGCATCACTTAGACGTGGGGGTTGTTTTCTTTCTTTTTTTCTTTTTATTCTTTTTTTTTTTTTTTGGCCTTTTGGGTTTTAATTTCTTGCTGGATTTTCCCCCAGAGGCACAAAGCTGTATTTGGAAAACGTCAGCTCTGTCTCCCCAGCCCCTTTGTCACGCTGGTGCAGCTCGGGCTGAAAGCACAAACCACAGCCCACCCATGGGGACGTGCTGCCCTGCTACTACTTAACTGCTTCAAAGTACCTGTCTGTGATATGAAACATGCCATAAAATGAATATATTCCAGATGTCCCAGCGAATTTCCCCTCAGCTCCGCAATCCACCTGAAGGCAGTGCACGCAGCGAGGTTCCTTGGTCCCTGCTGCCTCTCTCACTGCCAGAGGAGCACAGTGAGGGCTCATTTGGGGTTGCACTTTGGGGGGTGGCCATTACCAGACCAGGGTGGTGACCCCAGATTCTGCTCCATGCAGTGTGGGGTGAAGATTTCAGCCACTCATGTCCCAGGGGTGTGATTGCCCTCCATGGGATTGTGGGAAATGGGGTTTGCATCCTTAGGTTTGTTCCGTGCAGGTTGGGGTGAAGATTTCAGCCACTGATGTCTCGGCGAGTGATTGCCTTCCATGGGATTGGGGGAAATGGGGTTTGCATCCTTAGGTTTGCACCCCAGATTCTGCTCCATGCAGTGTGGGGTGAAGGTTTCAGCCACTGATATCCCAGGGGGTGATTGCCCTCTGTGGGATTGGGGGAGATGGGGTTTGCATCCTTAGATTTGGGGGTCTTTGTCCTGGAGGGGATTTCTCTCTCCATTCTTGGGTGGGGGATCCCCATCCTTGGGGTCTGCAGGATGTCTGTCCTCAGGGTTGTGAGGTCCTTGGGTTCTGAGGCGCTGCATTGTCAGGGTTGGTGGATCCCCATACTCGGGGTTAGGAGCTCACTCCTTGAAGTTTGTGGGTCTGAATCCTTGAATTTTGGAGATCTCCATCTGCAGGGTTGGGAGATCCCTTTCCTTGTGACTGGTGGAGTTCCCAGCCTTGGGGTTAGGTGGGTTCTTCCTTGTGTTTTGTGGAGCTCCATCCCTGAGCATCTTCACCTTCAGAGTTGGGAGCATATCTCCATTTTTTGGATATGAGGATCTCCTTCCTTGAGTTTGGAGGAAAATCTTCAACTTTGGGGCTGGCAGATACATCTGGGGTTGGCAGACCTCCATCCTGGAAGGTTCTCCATCTCCAGGTCTGGGTGAGCTCCACCCATGGAGATCCACAACCTCCACAACCTCCTCCACACCACGACACCCACGTTGCTCAGGGACTATCCTTGAACAGCTGCTGGTTTGGGATGATGGGCACCTCTGTGAGCAGAGCAGGCTCCCAACCTTCCAGCCGCTCAGCAAAGATGACCCTAATTTATTTAAAAGCTTCAGAGGGATCACGTTGGGATGTGTGTTTGCTGTTGAATTGAGTATTTCCAGAAAACACAGCCAATAATTTCCTTGGTGTGCTCTGTGCAGGTCCTGGTTGGCTGGGAGGACCATGGAAAAGCTGGAGTAACAACCGTGTAGAAGGCAATGAAGAAGGTACAAAAGCTAAAATTACTGTTCCTGGCTAATACTTTGCATGGCACTAATTAATTTTTAAACAGCCTCGCTGGGGACCTCATTGCTAAAACATGATGTTTTCTTCTCCGGAACCATAACTGTTAACTCCAAACCAAGCAGGAGAAAGTCAGGAAGGATGAGGAACCACAGGTCCATTAGGCTGCATCTGAGTTGCCTGACCTGATGGCCAGGTCTGATGGCCACTGTGCCTGGGGGGGGGTGCTCTGTCTCACCCCTCTGAAAGGATTTTTTGGGGTTGGGGAGTAAAATCCATCTTTTTGGAATGCAGAAGTGTTGTCTGAGCTGCAAGCATGCTGGGAGGAAAGGGAAAACTATTTTTGATTCTGCTCTCACCTGTCTCACTTTCCCTGCTTGTGGCTTTCCCTGAATATTTTTGACCATATTTTATTACTGGTCTCACAAACCTCAAAGTGGGGGATTGCTGTCATTGCACTCACTCACATGTAAAATATTTAATTCAGTCTTTGTGAGTGTTGAAAAAAGGCTTTCCTCAACGTTTTCATTGCTGCTGACATCTAGATCAACACCCAAATTTATTTATTTGACATTTCCCATTTCCAATTAATCTGTGAAGTATTCCTCCTAAAATGGTCTGAGCTGGTAATGCTTTATCTTCCATTTAATGTTTAATTATTCTTTAATTATTTGGACACTTTTCTTATCACCACTTCATGTCCACCTATTAATTCCATCCTTTAAAATTTCATCATCTCCAAAAGAAGGGAAACTCAGCAAGCTTCTGCTAAGTTTATTTTGAAAAATGTATCAAGTTCAGTAGTTTTACTCACAACCTCTCTGTTTACTTCTTTATTTTAAAATTAGGAAATGTGGTGGTAGCTTGGGGCGAATATTTTTTGATATCCTCTGGGTCTGATGGTACCAGAATCCAGCCTGAGCCAGGCTGAGTGTAGAAAATGACAATTACACCATTGAAATAGTGGGTTTTTTTGCTGTTGGAGGGAGCCTTTGCTGTGTGCCAGTAGCAGCCCTGGGGTCAGGGAGGGCTGGGACTGAGGGGAGCACGCGGCCCCCCCAGACGGGGAGATTTCTGTTTCCATATGGAAAAGGGATGTGGCATCTGGTTTCACTCCCAGCAGCTGGCAGCTTGAAGCCTGTGTTTTGCATGGTGTGGAGTAAAGAGAAAATAAAGTGTCGAATTGTTTGGCATTATCAAGGATTTCTGCTCCCCAGGACTCCTGCATAAAGAGATGGAAATTTTAGCTGCTGGAGCCAAGAAACACACAGAAGTATATGAATTTATTACATTTTATCTCATTCCCTTGCAAACAGCGCTGGAAATGTCAAAAGATCATCTATTGTTTCATCGTTTAGAAAGAATTTTTGTTTTCTAGTTGTAATTTCCTTGATGCCTGGCTGTGGGGAAGGAAGAGAAATTGGAGCAGGAGCTGGCAGGTTGAACATGCAGGTTTGTCTGGCCATGGAGCTACATGCATTTAAATTTCTCACATCCCAGGTTTTTAATTTAACAAATGTAATTAAGGCTGGGGTAGGTACTCGGATTATTCATTTACTCCAGATGGAAAAAATTAAATTGAATGCAAATTCCGTAATCAGACGTGAAGTTGAGGATGTCGGACGTGATGGGGAAGTGTCAGCACATTAATCGGACTGCTTTGCCTAAACAGCCCCCAAATCTAAGAGCCAGGGATTATTTGAATAATTGAGGTGGCATTTGATAAGATATCTGATTGCTGATATCTCCTTAAGACGAAGCCCTAATTGTAATTCTCCATCAAGAAGGATTAATCTGCGCTGGGAATGGTGTGGTGTCACACTCCCTCCCCTGAGTTTTGGGTTTTTATCAAGGGCTGCCATGCCCAGGGAAGGTGCCAAAGTGATTTATCGCTTCTCCTGTTGCTTTATCCTTGTGCCAGGAGGTCGTCAGGTAGCACAGCTTGGCACTGGGGATCTGTGTGAGGCTGCCTGAGTCCCACAGAGCTGGGTCTGTATTTTGGAGGTGCCTCCTGTTGTTGGAGAAGGATGAATCCTTGCATCTTAATGTCCCTTCTTCAACAGTTAGACCTTTTTCCTCTGGGAAAGGGAGACAAAGTGGAGAAAAAGTGTCCTAGCTTCAGCAGAAGACCATGTTGGTCCCTTCTTCATGTCTTCAGGGCACAGTTAGACCTTTTTTCCTCTAGGAAAAGGAGACAAAATGGAGACAAACTGTCCCAGCTTTAGCAGAAGGCCATGTTGGAGGACCATGAACCATCCATGACCCCAGTCATCACTGATAGGACCCAATCTTGGAAAATTTCTGGGGGTTGAGGGATGTTGACTCCCAACTCAGTCTTGGCTGGGGTAGAGTCCTGGTTTAGGAATGGTCCCCCCAGTTTAGTGCTTCTACTGAGACTTTGCAAACCACGCTGCCACTCACTGGATCCCCTTTCTCCTCCCCTTCTGGAGAATTCGAGGCATGAAAAGCAAAAATCATCTTCAAAAAGATGGGTTGTAATGAGAACAATTTACTGGAAACCAGAATAAGCAAACAAACAGTAGCAGCAACAATATTAATAACAAAAGGGTACCAAAAAAAGAGTGATTCACACACAAAATGCTCACCTTGAGCTAGAGCTGCTCTGGCTGGGAAGGGAATCCCTTTCCTGCCCTTCCCCCAAAACGATGTGCAGTGGTATAGAATAACCAGGTCCTGGCCATGCCCCCTCCCAGCTGCTGCAGAAATTAACCCTCTCCTGGCTGGAACCAGGACAGGTACCAAGAGGAGTTTCCACTCAATCTGGCAACAGACACTTGGTCATAATCATAGAAATTTTTCTTGTGGAGTCTGTTTTGTTGCCAGCACTGTTGGTTCCTCTTAAAACCAGGCATGGAAAAGTGGGGAGAGAGGGATGGACTTTCCTCCTTGATTCCCACACCCTGAGTGAGATTAGAAAGGATTTAAATTGCTGAAATGACAACTCTAAAAAAAAAATGAATTGAAAATCCAGTCTTGTAAACAAATAATCATCATGGCCCTTCCTTCTCCCTTCCTCTATATAGCAGCAAATGAAAAAAAAAACCCAAAAAACAAAAGGGGAAAAGATGAAAGAGGGCAAAGGGATACAGCTTGAAAGAGGTTTGAAAGAGTTTGCTGTTGGGTTTTTTTGAGAGCTTGAATATTGTGAAACAGGCTGTAAATGGAAATTCTTCCCTGTAGGATGGTGAGGCCCTGGCACAGGTTTCCTTATCCCTAGGAATGTCCAAGGCCAGGCTGGATGGGGATTTAGACCAACCTGGGACAGTGGAAGGTGTGTGGCTGTGGCAGGGAGTTGAAACAAGATGAATTTTAAGGTCCCTTCCAACCCAAACCAGTCTGGGATTCCCTGATTCTGTGTAATAGAAAATAAAAGGTGTTGGGGAGAAAATAATCCTTAACTCATCTGCAGTCAGAGGTTTGCCCAGAAGTGATGAGGATATATTAGATTTTTCCTGTCTCTAAAGCAAAGTGAATGCAGAGATTTTTCATCTTTTCTCTCTGTCCTACTGTCCCACCTCCTCCTGTGACCATGTGCCAATGGGCACTCCTGATGGATTGGGTGCACTAAGGGATTTTAGCCAGGCTCAGGGCAGTGCATTCACAACCAGAAAAGCATTATATCCCCTCAAAAAAACCCGAACCCAAACTCACCAACCCCTCCCCCAAAAAAAACAACAAAAAAACCCCAACTTAAATCACTTGAGATAAGTTGGATGTTATCTGAAGTTGCAAATTGCTTGTTTGCTTCTCCAGCTGGAGCTGTTAATTCAGAACAATTAACACACCGTTTAAAACCCAGACAAAGCATATGGAGGCAGTCCTTGGGAAAAGGGCCTCTTTGGGATGGAGTGCCTCAATGGGAAATCAGGATAACTCCAGTTTGGCTTTCCCCTTAGATCCTGGCAGGTGTTGTGGGAAATGACACAAATACCAGAGTTTGGACCCTCAGAACCCCTATTGGATTCTAGGTTGAGGGATGCTCAAAGCAAGACCCAGCTGGGTCTCTAGACCCAAAAGAAATCCAAATGTTGGCATTCAGTGTTGGGATGAATTTATCTCTGAGGCAGTGCCTTCACCTCCTGCTTATCCTTCAAATATTTCTTCTTGATGAAGAAATAACAAATCCTAGAGTGACTCCTAAAATAATGCCTGAATTTTTTATTGGTCCTTTGCAATGGCATGGAGCACCTCCCTGGCTCCATCCTTCTGGCCTTTTGTGGCATCATTTTGGACACCTGCCATTTATTTTCTCAGGTGCCCTTTTGGTTTTTGATGCAGGTGAAGAGCAAAAGCCTAAATCTGGAAAGAAACCCCCAAAATACAGGAGTTCAACCTGCTTAAAATACTGATGTGAGCTCAACCTGCTTAAAATATCTGTGGGTCAAGGAGCCAGGAGGTGAGCTCATTGCTGTTTTGCAAGGACATAAACCACTGTTAGACTTTTATGGGAAGCTGTAGGAAATGCTGCAGCAGTTGTTGCATTTTTGCAGCCCAGTGGTGGCTTAAGGGGTAATTTATGCTTTCTTCCACCCTTGCCTCCATGTATCCATGTGTCTTTTCTCCATGTGTGTTCATCCATGCATCTGTGCAGCCTTGCATCCATGAATCCATGTGTCCTTGCATTTGTCCATCCATCATTTTTGGTCTTATACTTCTGACCAGCACTGCACACGAATTTTATTTAGGGCACCCATGAATTTATATCACAAGTGAAAAAAATCCCACAAATCCAGATATTTTCCTCAGAAACTTTACAGGAATTTGCATGGCTGAAGGTGCAGCAGCTTTTAGCATCCCCTACAAATGATGGGGAAATAAACTTTTCCATCTCAAAGTTGGCTCTAGGATTTTGGGGTTGGGGATCCCTGTAGTATGAGCCCCCCAAAACCTCCATGAGGTGTGAAAGCCAAGCAGGTCATCTTAAAGAGCTTTTTCTGCAAACCCTTTCCTGCTACTCCCCCATCCGAGGATGGATGTAGGCAGCATCGGCAAATCTGAATAACTAATCAGAGTCCTCATTAACCCCCCACTGAGATGCTCAAACATTCACTTTGCTGTTTGTGAAGCAGGGGGAAAAAAAAAAAAGGAAAAAGGGAAAAAACCTCACAAGCCACCCTGCATTAAAATTGATGTGTTATTAATCCCACTGTTCCAGACCTCATGGGCACCGAATTTTCCTGCGTCTGGCCCGAGGCTGAACAGTATGGTGCTGCTTCTGCAGGGCACTTTGCCTTTCCATTATTTATCAGCACAGTGGAGAGAGGCTGCTTTTGTTCCCTGGATCCAGATGTGTGCACATGCACATGTCTGGGGTGGGGATGTCCAATATTTCTCTGCATGCCCCGTTTGGGTAAATGTAAGCCCCCTACAGCAGGGCTCTGCCAACAGATCTGTCTCTCCCAACTGTGTTTTGCCTCAAAGCAGCTTTGCTTTTGCAGAAAATATTTAAAAATATTTGGGTGTATGGGCATGTCTCAAATCTTTCACTCTCTCTGAGAAAGGGTGGGGTTTGTGCATCACCAGTTTAACTTCTGAAATGAAAATATTATATTCTTCTTTGCACCAGCATCCCCAAAACGTGCCCCCAGCCCTTATCCAGAGGCTGGAGAGAAATTGCACTGTGTGGGGAAAAGCCCAACACACCAAAGGTTTTTATCACAAAAGTCCTCCTGGCAGATGGCAGCAGGTGTTGCCAAGGTATTTGGAGAGTCTTGGAGCTCCTTAAAGGGTTAACTGAAACTTGAGCTTTGATTTCTGCATTTGTACTGATTTTCACACCTTCAGGGTTTCTGTGGTTGTCCCCAGGGGTGTGGAGTTTGGGGCCCATAGTGTGGCCCAGCAGCAAACTCTGCTGGCCCCAAAAATAAAAATAATTCAACAAAGAATATTAAAAAATGTAATATAAACATATTAAAATACAACATAATATTTTATAAAATATTATATTTTATACAAGATTTATATAAAATATTATATAAATAATATAATTTTTAATAATATTATAATATTTTATAAAATAATTAAACAAAACCCAGCATTACTGGGGATTCCACCATTTGTGTTTTCCTTCTAAGTCAGAGCAGCTGGCATTAAATTTATTGAAACTTGATAGTCACAGTTAAACAGCATTGACACGATGAGGCTGGAAGCACCACGGCCTGCTCACATTGGAAGAAACAAAGTGACATGCTGGGAAAAGCCTTCCTGCTTAAAAATCCTACATTTTTTACAAAAAATCCTGAATTTTCTTTTGCCAAATGTCAGCTTTATTAGCATCCCCTTACACTTCATTAAAACTTGTTAGCAGGGATGCCCTTGGCTTTTTGCAGCTGGGGTAGAGGCTGCTGTCCCAGGATACTGGGCTCCCAAATCTGCTTTGGATGCTGCTCAGGCCAGCAAATCAGGATTTAGGGCATTTGTGGGGATTGATGACTTGTCAAAAGTGGTGTCTCATTTATGACCCCAGGGCTGAGTACAAGCAGGAGCAGCCATGGGACACCAGGATCCTGCTGCCTTGCATTGCCTGTGGTGGAGCATCTTGGAGGAGGCATCTCCTCCGTTCCCCTTCGCACTGGGAGGACTTCAAAGGCCTTTGCTAAACTTCAAAGGATGCCTTTTGAAGTTGCTAAAAGTGCTCAAAAAGACTTCTCTCTCTCTCTCTCTGCAAGGGTGTTCAGGGAGATGTCCCTGATGGGGTTGGCTCTTTGTGTTCTCTGTGATGGGGACAAAAACGGCGTTGTTTCTGCAGAAGGTGCACAATGGTTTTGTCCTAAATGCATGCAGCACCCAAGGCCTCAGGCCTGGCCACCTCCAAGGATGAAAATCAGTCTGTCAGAGCTCTTTTAACACTGACAGAGCCTTATTTCTGCTCCTTTTCCTCCAGCCCTCATGTTTTGTTCACACAGCAAGCCCAGATGGCAAAAGTCTTTCCTGTGGGATAGAAAAAAGTCTTTATAGGATGAAGGTGCAAAACATGAGCTTTTCCATCATGATGTCAGGACAAATCCAATGAAAATCAAGTCCAAATTTGTGATATGTATTTGGCATCAGCCCATTCATGCTCCTCCAAGGCATGAACATTAATTCTTTACCCTAAATAACCTTAATATTTCACCTGCTGTTGTGGTGGAAGAGTTTTGGACTCAGGCCCTTCTGAGCAGACCAGGTCTCTACGTCTCTTGGCTGGACCTGCACTGGCCTGAGAAGTCAAGAGGCACCTTGATCTTTTGTCTCTTTCATCAAATTTTCCACATTTGGAGGTTTCTGCTGTGTTTTGCCCTGAAATAGTCCAGTTGTTTCCAGATCTCTCCTTGGGCAATGACCTTAGGCCAGGTTTCCAGGAATGCAAGTGAGGTATCTCAGGTGTATTTTGGGCATCTAAGGAGCTCTTTGGAGGTTCTGTGCAGGTATCTCAGGTGTATATTGTATCTGAGGAGCTCTCCAGAGGTTCTCTGCAGGTTGGGAGGTATCTCGGATATGTACTGGACATCTGAGGAGCTCCTTGGAGGTTCTGTACAGGTATCTCAGGTGTATTTTGGGCAGCTGAGGAGCTCTTTGGAGATTCTGTACATGTTGGGAGGTATCTCAGGTGTATATTGGGTATCTGAGGAGCTCTGGAGGTTCTGTGCAGGTATCTCAGGTGTATTTTGGGCAGCTGAGGAGCTCTCCAGAGGTTCTGTGCATGTCAGGAGGTATCTCAGGTGTATATTGTATCTGAGGAGCTCTTTAAAGGTTCCATGCAGGTATCTGAGGTTCCGTGCAGGTACTTTGGGCAGCTGAGGAGCTCTTTGGAGGTGATGGTGGTGGCATATATCAGATGTAGATCCAAATAATCAGTTCAGAAGGTGGAGGTGTGCATACATCTGCCTGTGTTAGACATTTATCAGCAATCCGAGGAGCTCTGAATGGATTTTGTGTACCAGGGTGGGTGTTTTGGATGCATATTGAAATCTGAGGGGCTCTCTGGAGGTGACACATCTATCAGAGCTCTGAGGAGCTCCTTGAAAGTGTCTATGCCATGCTGCATGTGCTGGGTGTGTAACAGGGATCTGAGGAGCTCCCTGAAGGTGATGGTGCCATGCAGGATGTGCTGGGTGTGTAACAGAGCTCTGAGGAGCTCCCTGAAGGTGCTGTGTGCATGCTGGATGTGCTGAGTGTGTAACAGGGATCTGAGGAGCTCCCTGAAGGTGATGGTGCCATGCTGGATGTGCTGGGTGTGTAACAGATTTGAGGAGCTCCTGGAAGGTGCTGTGTGCCATGCTGGATGTGCTGGGTGTGTAACAGAGCTCTGAGGAGCTCCCTGAAGGTGATGGTGCCATGCTGGATGTGCTGGGTGTGTAACAGATTTGAGGAGCTCCCTGAAGGTGCTGTGTGCCATGCTGGATGTGCTGGGTGTGTAACAGATTTGAGGAGCTCCTGGAAGGTGCTGTGTGCCATGCTGGATGTGCTGGGTGTGTAACAGAGCTCTGAGGAGCTCCCTGAAGGTGATGGTGCCATGCTGGATGTGCTGGGTGTGTAACAGAGCTCTGAGGAGCTCCCTGAAGGTGATGGTGCCATGCTGGATGTGCTGGGTGTGTAACAGAGCGCTGAGGAGCTCCCTGAAGGTGATGGTGCCGTGCTGGATGTGCTGGGTGTGTAACAGAGCGCTGAGGAGCTCCCTGAAGGTGATGGTGCCGTGCTGGATGTGCTGGGTGTGTAACAGAGCACTGAGGAGCTCCCTGAAGGTGCTGTGTGCCATGCTGGATGTGCTGGGTGTGTAACAGATTTGAGGAGCTCCAGCCAGGTGTGTTTATCAAAGGTGTCCATGCCAGCTGTGCATTGGTGAGGAGCTCTCCAGGGTGGGTTGGCACCAAGGTGATCCATCAGGGCTGGGCTGAGAGCAGCTTGCCAGAGGTTGTGTGCATCAGGGGACATTTATTGCACTATATATATATCTATAATATAAGGGATTTATGCTGGACATCTGAGGACCTCTTTACCAGGAGATTTATATCAGGGTAGATGCATCACACATATATTGGAGATCTCAGGTGATGTTTCTAGACACAGAGGTGATATTTGGGGTGATGTACATTGAGGGACATTCATCAGATGGATGTTGAAGGTCTGAGGGGCTCAGTAGAGGTGTTATATATGGAGAGATCTGGTGAATTTTATCTCTTGTATTCCTTTTTTTTTTTGCAGTCAAACACAAAACACCCCAGTGTGGGTGGCTCTGCTGGTCCTTGCTCAGCCCATCTTTGTTTTTCCACTGGAACTACTGAGATGGGCCCAGAAATCCCAGTCCCATAAGGGTAGATTCTTGGCAGCTGCAAAATCACCTCTAGCATATGGATGGACTTCATTAATTAGTGTCTGGGAGCTCCCCCATTTGGGAGGTAGTGGCTGCTCCTCAGTTCACTCTGTGTGAGCCCGAATATAAACACACCTTTATTATAAAAGGTGTTTTTAATATAAAAATATTACAATTAACCAGGGGAATGCCAAATATTATATAACATATATAACATATAACATATATAAGATATAGCATGTTATATATTACATATTATATATTATATATTATATATTATATATTATATATTATATATTATATATTATTTATTATATAAACTACATAATATAAATGTTATATATTTATAATAAATAATTATATTACAATTTATAATAAATAAATATTATAATTTTATTATAGTTAACCAGGGAAATATAAATTATAATATTATAATTGACCAGGGAAATGCCAACTACCAGCATGAAATGGGGGCTCAGCCAGCCATCAGTGCTGTTTCATTCCTTTTTTCCCTTTTTTCTCCTTTTCAGACCTGGATTGCAGCAGTAACCCTCAGAGTGATCCCGTGAGGAGCTTTCAGCACCCACCAGGAGTGGAAGAGGAGGGGACAGGACCACCTTGGCCTCCATCCCCTGTGCCCAGACCAAGGAGGAGCTCGCCTTCGTTTGCTGGACACATCTCGGTTCGACCTCTAAAATTCTGATTTGTTTTTGTCCCTTTTTGGAGATGTTCAAACCTGCTGGGGAAAACCCCTGACCTAGCTCGACATCAGTCCTGCTCTCATCTCCAGGGGATATTCCCACCTATGTTTTCCTTGATTTCTCCTGTTTTCCCCATCATCCTCCAGAAAAAAAAGCATTAAGAAAGACTTGCCATCTGTGGCTCCACTGCCAATGCACTTTCCTAGTGCAGACCTTCATCCTTTGCTTAACAACTTTCTTATTTTATAATTTCTCTCAAAATATTTCATTTTTGCTTCCCCAGGTTGTGATCCCCACCCAGTTTTCAGGGCAGTGGGAGGACACTTCCAGGGCAGTGGCTCCCTGAGCACCCCCTAACAGTAAGACTGCTTTGCTTTATATTATTTAAGCAATTATATGTATTAATTGTGCAATTATGTATATTAATTGAGAAGGATGTGGTGAATCATGACCTTGGTGTGGTTTATTTGGAGGAATTTCTGCTGTTTTCTGTTGATATAATTTAAATTGTATCAACCCTTCCCTAAATGCTGTGAGCATTTCAGAGCAGAAACACTTATTTGTTAAAAATAAATCAGTCTGTGCAGGGAGTCTTGTTTTAAAGCTCAAGTGTAGATAACATATTGTTAAGAGCCCTACAAGGCATAAGCAGCCTGGAGGAAAACACAGATATATTTTTGTGAAAATACTCTGAAATATAGGTTGTTATCACTGCAAAATTTTGGCACAGCCGGCAGTAAGGTGCAAAGAAATGGCCACCAACTAAAAATAAATGAAATGCAGAGCTTAAAATAAGATGTACATGAAACCAAGGGTTTCACAGTCCTTTAGTCAACCCTGATCACTAAAATTAGGGCTTGACAGAGTGACAAATGTGCTTGATCCGTGCCAAAACCAGGGTACCAGCAGGTGACACAGAAAATAAAACCCTGCTGGCTACAACTTCCCTCCTATAGGGGCAAAGAGAAATCTTTGGTCGCTGAAAATGGGAGTGGCCCCTTCAATTTGGGTAAATATTCTGCAAAAGTGCCTGGTTTCACTTTAGGCTGGTAATATTTAGGTGGGGGCTTCTCATGGAAAAACCCAAACCCTTCATTTGGTCCATGGCCCAGCAGAGCTTCTTTTCTTTGAGTCTTTTCTTTTGAGTCTTGCCTTCTCTGAAAGTAAAGTAAGAAGTGAAGGAAGTAAAAAGTAAGAAGTAAAGTAAGAAGTCCCCTCCCCTTTTAGTAACAAGCAGCCAGCAGGGGCAGGATTATTCCCCTTAGGCTGCCCTTTGATTCTTGCTGGTGACCCTGCCTCAGTGAAAACAAAAAACTCATGATGAAGGAAGTGATGAAAATCTCCTCAGCTTGGTTTTGCCCTTTTTTGATAAAGGTACAGGTTGGGTTCATGTTGAAATTACTTTTCTGCTGTCTGTAGGGGGGAGTGGGGTCAGCACAATGACACTTTTTGGGGGGATCCTCCCTGCTTGGTACCCTCCTTCCAATCTGTATTTCAAAGTGAGTGAAAGTGATGCCTTGGAGTGGCTGCCTGGAACAGAGGCTAGACAGAGTTAAGAGAATAAAGTGGGAATTTATGAAAGGCCTTTAACAGACACACCTTGGGCAGTCAGAGCCTCCCAGAGGCTGCACCCAGCATGGACAGTGGCCAGAGTTTTTCAGGCATACTTAAGTTTGGTCCGTTGTCTGGGTTTGGAAAGACAGGAGTCTGCTAAGGAAGGCAGGAGCCTCCACTGAAATGGAGAATGTAAACCCTCCACACCCCTCGGAATTGCTGTAAATTTTAAATCAAGGGGCTCTCAGGAAAAAATATGGGAGCAAGAAATAACTGTTCTTTAATAGGGAAGAAAACAAAAGGATAAAATCAACAATGCAGTAAACCAAAACAACACTGACAGAGTCAGAACCCAACCTGACACCCTGTGGGTCAGGCTGTGGGCAGCAGTCCCATTGGAATTGTGGCTCAGCCCTCCTGCAGTGTCAGGGCTGGTTCTGCTGGAGCAGGGATTCTGGAGAAAGGTGCAGTCTCTGCCTCTGAAGATCCAGGGGAAGAGGCAGCTGCTGTTCCTCTGGGGAATCCAGTGGAGAAGCCGTGCTGGTGTTCCAGAATCTCCAGATTATATCCAGGCAGGAATGCTTGGCTGGTGTTCCAGAATCTCCAGATTACATCCAGGTAGGAATGCTTGGCTGGTGTTCCAGAATCTCCGGATTATATCCAGGCAGGAATGCTTGGCTGGTGTTCCAGAATCTCCAGATTATATCCAGGCAGGAATGCTTGGCTCCTCCCTCTGGGCTCACATCTCCCAATGGGATGCTGTAGTTCTTATCAGCCATGCAGTGACATTCAATAGCTGTTATCAGCAGATGTTCCCCAGAGGGAGGTGTGAATGTGGTCACTCAGAGAGAGGTAAGGCAAACTGCCCACTCGACAAAAGATGCCATACAGATGGTGACAGAATAAAAACTGCCATACAGATGGTGATAGAATACATCTTGCATTGCAATCTGGAACATCCATTTACATATCAGGGGTTAATTCCCCAATTACAGCTTCAGCTAATGAAGCCACATTTCCCCAGTTTGCTCCTCCTCAATTCACCTTTATTTATTCTTTTCTGGTCCTGAGGTTGTTGGGTGCCCTTGGGTTCCAGGCCCAGAGGAATTGTTTTGTCTGACCAAGATGTGAAGACAAGAGCTGACACTTCATATGGAGTTAGAGTTATGCGCTAATGCAGCACAGGATTTGGAAAATATAAAGGCTAAAATCTCAAGGCATCAAAAGTGCTCAGTGCCCTGCCATGTGTTTTGTGTGGGTTGGGTTGCTCTCTTTGGAGGAGCTGTGTCTGTGGAAGACACAAAGTGCTGGAAGCTTCTCCAGCAAGGAGACCAAACCAGAACTGCTCAGCAAATTGTGCCAACAGGGTGCAGACACCTTCCTTGAAAAGCACAGGAGGATGTGATGGTGGTGGGTGTCCATTTAATGACATTCTGGAACACTGAGCTGTAATTACTCTAAGTGGTTAATGATAGAAATTACCTGAAGGTTTCTGAGAAACAACTTGGTTTCCCTTGGCTTTCCCCACTGTGTGTTAGAGCCCTCCGTTTCCAGGCACCAAACTATTTCAGCTTTCCTCCTCCTGAAGCCCCTATGACCACAAGATGCACCTCTGAGGCCAGGCCATACCTTTTGTCATTGTGCAAAAAAAGTTGTGGAAAAAAAAATTAACATGTCTGTCTCATACCATGAACACTTTCCAGTCCTTTTTTGATCCCAATTTCCTCATCCTGTTGAGTTCAGACCAGGCTGAGATTTACTCCCATTTGGAGTAAATGGAGAAGACAGTCTTATTAAGCATTACTAAAGGAGTTTGAAACCCATTGTAATTTCTTATAAATCACCATGTCATATTTCAAACTTCTCTTTCATCACTGAGGCTGGAAATATGGCCCAAAAATTGCTTTCAAATGGGCAAATGAAAAATGTTTCAATTGTGGTGATTAATCAAGGTGTTCCCATCTCAGGCTTTAGTGCCTTGGCTCGGGGTTTGGACAGGGACAGCTCCCTGTAGATGCCAGAAAGCCTGACATGCCTCAAGGAAAACCTTATTTTTGTTTTCTGGTCAGCAAAGTCATTTTTCATAGGGAATTTTACATTTTACACAGGAAATTCAGGGAGAAGGCAAGACCAGGAGGAGCCAGAGAGCTGCAAGAGAGGGATGTGAAATGAAAACTCAGTGAGTCAAGAATTCTGGTTTATCTACCTTATGGGGCTCCAGAGGGAGTTTTTCCCCCTCCCAAGGGGAAAATTTCCAAGTGTGATAGCAGGATACAGCAAGAAATGAGGCAGATTTAAGGGAGGATTTTATTTGGTGTACTGTGGAATTGCTGCTCTCCTGACTTTCCCAGTCAGTGAAGTCTTTGCGCTCACACCTCACCTGTGTTTCTGCAGTTGGGTTCACTCTGCTGTTTTTAGCAAGTCCACCAAAAACCAGGTATATGTCCATGTTTACTCATGGAGGTTTTGGGAGATTTACATAAATACGGTGAGATTTGAGTTGCAAAACAAATACCCCAGGAAGGCATTAAATTAAAATCTAAAAAGATGGGAAATTGTGCTATTGATTATGGGGTGTTCATGGACTGCAACAACATTTACAAAAAGTCCTCGGTTTGTGGTGGGATACGTGCCAGAATTGTTGGCAGTGTTGAGGTTACAGGTGGGTCTTGCACTGGCATTGCTCTGTTTTGCACTTTGTGATATTTGCAGTGGCAGAGAAATTGGTTATTATTCAATAACTCTATTCCCCAAGTTAGTGCCCCTCCCCAAATCTCCAGAACTCCATGCAGCTCACTTGCTTCCCTTCTCCTGCCTGTAGAGAAAAGATTGGAGGCACAAAAGGCAAAGAGGGGTTGGGATAAGAACAGTTGAGATAAGAACAATTTACTGGAAACAGCAATGAGATAAGAAAACCAACTTGTAACAGCAGCAATGCAAATAACAAAAATGCACAAAAGAGGACACAGAGCTTAACCTGACCACAGCCATGTCCCCAAAGAGCTCTCTCTGGTCAGAACCAGCATTACCACATTGATCTATCCTTCATGCTTGCTCCAGGAGAATGAATTCCCTTCTTCTCAGAAGAGAGAGAGTCCCTTTCCCCTGCCCCTGGCAATGGTATCAAATAAATAAATAAATAGAATAAATAAACATAATTTAAAAATTATAATAATAAATTACTAGTAAATTAATAACAACAATAATAATGATAGCAATAATAATAATAATAGGGTCTCCAAGCCCCCCTCCAAGCTATTGTAAAAATTCACTCTGTCCTGGTTGAAACCAGGACACTGGTGAAGGATTGCAGGTGTCAGTTTGGAATGGAAAAACTTGAATAATGGTTTAATTTTTGAGGAGCAAGACAGTTTTTGAGTGTGTTTCTTCTCAGCTACTCAAGCAACAGCGCTGATGTCACCTTTGGTCTTGAGGCAGAAGTTTGTAGAATTCACAAATATTGCAAATATTGCGAGGGGGAGAGGAGGGGCAAACCCTGACTGCTGCTCTCTGGTGCCCAGGGGCAGGACCCAAAGGAACCCAAAGGACCCAAAGCCTGAAGTTGTGTCAGGGCAGGTTTAGGTTGGGTATTAGAGGAAGATTCTTCACCCAGAGGGTGCCTGGGCACAGGAAGAGGCTCCCAGGGCACTGGGCATGGCTGAAGGCCAGCAGAGCTCAAAAAGCCTTTGGACAATTCTCTCACTGTGTGGTGTGACTCTTGGGGATGGTCCTGAGCAGGGCCAGGAGCTGGAATCGAGGATCCTTGTGGCTCCTCTCCAGCTCAGATCATTCTGTGGTTCTGTCACCTTCTCATGGCCACTGTGGGGTTGGGATTTGGTGTTTGCAGGATGGAAATGTGGGTGCTCAGTGGCTGATTCCTGACTCACCACTGTCCATGAGATGGAGGATGAAGAGCACAAGCCAAGGTTTGAAAGCATAGGACAAGACTTCAGACTTTGGACATTAATTGTTCTCAGTTAATTTGAGATTGTTCTCAACTGTTAAAACATTCATCTGCTCCCTATTTTTTACAAGACAACCAGATTTTTTTTTTTTTGACATTTCGTGCCCAGCAAGAGGAAGTTTCTACATTTTTGGGGTTCCTCAGCTGCACTTCACTTCAAAGCTTTTTGATTTGCTGAAAAAAAAAATCACAACTTGCTCTTTTGGGAACTTTTCTTGGGCAGAGGGCTGGCTTGCACAAAATTCAAGTATTCTCAGGTTACTTTGAAGAAGCTTCTTTGATGTTTCCCTGTGCCAGTTTGTTTTGGAAGGTGCTTTAATGGTCTTCCCCTATAAAAATAACACTTTAAAATGTATGTAGGTATCTCAGCTCTCCACTTAAAAAAATGAGCAAAGTTGTTTAATGCTGCTGTTCAAGGTACATTAACCTTGTCTGCTAAAGCTCTGACTGGCTCTTGCAGGTTTTATTCTCATGTTTATGTTGCAGAGATATCCCTGGAGCCTTGCAGAGATGGGTATCTTTGGAGAGGAGAGGAATATTTAGCAGTAATTGTTGTTCTCATCAGAAATCCACTGAAGCAGCTCCATCCTTTCTATGGAGCTGAGGTTGGGAGGACGATTGGGACATATCAATTAAATAAATACAAATAATAAATAAATACATGTAAATATTAAACAAAAAAAATGAAAATATGAAATACCTACGTGAAAATATTAAATAAATAAATTCTCTCTTCCTGGTTCTCAGGGGCCCATTCACTGACATTCCAAACCAGGCTTTGGCAAGGGTTTTTTTGGCATTGTCCAACAGGGTGTTTCCCTCTCCCTTTTATCCCAGTGCTTATGTGTTGACCAACTGTTTTATTAAGAAGAAAAACAGAAAAGTCTACTCCAGACTTTGTTCTACAGCAATATCAAGTCATTATCTGCTTTAACCCATCCTTGTAGCAGAAACACAGACTCAATTCCTCCTTTTTTTACCAGGCAGTAACTGATAACAGGATACTGGGAGGGTATGGAGGTCAGCACTTAGTAAAATTAGCATCTTTGCCAAGAGCAAAAGGTGCTCCCAGTGCAAGAAAACCTCCTGGAACTGGATTGAGGAAATTTGGCCATGATATATTCTTAAAAAAATTAAAGCTATTTGATGGCACAGTGGTATCTTTGCACAAAGGTTCCTGATCTCCCCAGATGAGATGTTACATGAGCAACAAGTTTGGAAGCAACCTTGAATGTGGAGGAATGGCCAAGGATGGGTAATGTCTTGAAAAATTGGATAATTTTCTGGTTTTGACCATTTAATAGCACTTGGTTTATTTTTAGTGAGCTCACGGTGAGTTCATGTAAAGTCTGCTTTGCATGAAAACCTACTATTCATATTTCAGGGTAATTTTGGTAAAAACAGGCAAAAAATGTGAAGATTTGTTGATAGAAATGAGACATTCAAGAGGAGAGGGTCACTCTTAATTCACTTTATGGGCAATCACGAGTTGGCATCACCCCTGGAGGGCGAGCCTGCCCTGGTGGCTCTGGGTGAGATGGATTGTCCTCTGGAGGACCCTCTCCATCCCTCCTCTGCTGTATTTCTTCATTTTCACTTAGCTGAGTGCATATATCATAAACTCCAGCCTGCACAAGCCCTCTGTGAAGATGGTGACATAAAAACCTCTCAGCCTGCTGTGGAGAGAGCGTGACTGACACGGCGTCGTTGGGAATCTCACAGCTTCCCCTCTTCAAAAAATCCCCTCAGAAAAGGCAATCTTCCCTTAATACAGAAAAATACCTTCCATAGCTGGTAAAAAAAAAAATCCTTAAGTATCTCTAATTATTTTGATGCTTCAGGTGGAGAAGGAAAGGCTGAGAAGTTGATTTTCTGATTTTTCTTGTGGAATTCTCCATTATCAGTTGCATGTGTTGCTGTGGGGCAGAAGCCTCTCAATAAGCTGGAAAAAGTGATCCTCGTTTTCCCATTGGCTCAGAAACAAGAATTGTGCTTTACAGACTGAGTATTAGCATTTTGCTTTGAAAACAGTGATGTAGTGTCCATAAAAGGGAATTTTTTTTTTTTTTTTATTCAGCCCCAATTCTGACCAGCCCTGACCATCTAATATGGGTTTATGGCTGTTTTATTAATCAAAGAGGTCGTGTTCACCTGGAGGGTGACTGGCAATACTTTAGTATTTTAAGGCATGATGGAAAAAACCCCCGACTTTTCAACTTAGTCTTTAATTATTTTTCCTTGAAAAAGGCTATAATATATTGCTGGTAAAAAACCCCAGCCTATAAATCTGAGAGTCTTTTAGATAGGCACAAGCTCTTCGGGAAATACATTTCCAAAGTAATGGCAACATTTCAGTGATAGCTGAAATAATTTTATTTCATAAGGAAATTTAGGATACTTTGATCTCAAGTCACTGCCAAAATGTGAAGTACTGCTGCTTCCGGAAATGAAAGAGCCTTTATGGGTTTTTATTGCTCACCATTTCTTTCTTCTGTGCAAATCCCCCAGGAGCTGGCTGCAATTCCTGCCCTCCCTGATCTCCAGATCCTCAGAATTCTCTCTTCACCCAGGATTTGAACATTTCTTGAGGTGCTCTGGAAGGAGTTGGCAGGGGTTTGGTGATGCTCTGCTCCTTTCAGTACCTGGATGCCCATCATCAAAATCAAAAATTAATTTAAGAAGTGGGGGAAAGGAAGGAAAGGAAGGAAAGGAAGGAAGGAAAGGAAGGAAAGGAAGGAAAGGAAGGAAAGGAAGGAAGCAAGGAAGGAAGGAAGGAAGGAAGGAAGGAAGGAAGGAAGGAAGGAAGGAAAAAGGAATAATGTATAAAACAAAAATACAAAAAATAAGAAAGGGTTAATGCATGTAATAGCAGCTTTCAACCCTTCCCTGTGCTGGTTGCTGATAAATGCATGGGGCTGACAGCTCTGCCCTGTTATCCTGAGATTCATGGCTGGGGCTCCCACGTGAAACACCTGTCCAGCTTTTCCTGTGGCCACCAGACATTTCCTGAATATTTACAGTGCCTGAGTGCATTTGTTTCTCCCAGGATAAATAAATATACTGCTATTGGCAACAGCTGTCTCCCACTTTTATCCCTTTTTTTTTTTTTATTTAGCTGTCAGTCCTATTCTCCAAACAAATCATCACCCATAAACCTCAATGAGCAGCTTGATTTGAGCAGCTTAGACATTATTCAGCAATTAAATTGGGCTCTGGGCTGCCACCTTCTGGGAATAGAGTCACCCAAAAAGCTCACACCCCCCAGCAGATCGCCACGTGCTGGCTGTAGGATCTCTCTTGGCAGGAACAATAGATGCCAAGCAGGGTGTTTTTCCCAAAATAGCAATGTCTTTTTTTTTTTTAGCTTCCCACACAGATGTCCAGACTGTCGCAGTGCTAAATTCTGCTTTTCCCCCGCTGAAATTCTCTTTCTGGTGGGGAGGTTTTTCCCTGGGTGTTGCCCCCCGAGGACAGGGATATTTGTGTGCCTGCAGCTGTGAGCTGAGTTTGACATTGGACATCAAAGGTTTTAAGCTGTGAGTTCACTCAGGAGCAGATAATTTTGCCTCCTGCTATTTTGCTGTTGGGAGGAAAAAGATGAAAAGCATCATTTTAATCCCATAAATGCAATATCCTCACTGCTAGAGGTCTGTGTGAGGGAAGAACCCTGATCTACCTTCACAATGCGCAGGATTTCGGGTGTGATTTCTTAGTATTCAATTCATGGGTTATCCATATTTGTGCAAAGTATAAGAAAGAATAACCTCATTTGTTCATGCAAAATAAAGAAGGGTTGTTGATGCTCATCCCAAGCATTTGGCTTTCCATTTGGATTTGGTGCATTTGTGAACTTAGTGCCTGGCAAAGCCTGAAGCCTCGAGAAAATCAGAAATTGCACCTCTTCCCCCAAAACAACCTCATAGAGAGGACTAAATTTTTCACAAACATTCCCAAATGTGCCTCAGTTTTGGCTGAGCTCATCAGTGCCTCTTCTCCTTTTCCTTTCACCTTCCTGCCATTTTGTGGTGAAAGCAGTGCTGATGCTGGTTTTGGGTTATTTCCCCTGACAATATCTGGGGACTTTCATAACTTCCTGCATTTCCTCATGAGGTGGTGCCATGGCTTTTCCCCAGATAAGAAGCCAAGGGGAAAGTCAGTGCATCACAATGGGGAGATCCTTGGGGAGGTGTCACCTCTTACAGAAAGGAGAAAATAAAAATGTCTTTGACATTGAAATGTCTTTTTCTTCTTCAGAAGAAAAAATGTCTTCTGAAAGAAGAAATTTCTTCTTTTCAGGAAGAAATGTCCTTTGGAGGTCACAGGAAATTTTTTGGGTAACTTTGTGAGTTGGCCCAAAAAATCCCAGGAAATATTTTGGGTAACTTTGTGAGTTGGCCCAAACCAGAGCTCCAAGCCATAGAGAGGACAGGACAGAGTTTTTAAGAATTCAGGCAAGATTAATGGCTTTTCTTTCTAAAGCAACCACACAGCTGCAGTGGAAGAGTGGGATAAAAGGTATTTTCAGGGCCAAGAATTGCTTTTGGGTCACATGTACCACCAGGTCTATTTGTTGGGGACTTTTCCCAGCCAAGTGCTCCACTACAAATTTGTCCCTTCCTGGTGCCCCTCTTTTTTCTCCATCTCCTTTGGACTTGAAGATACAAAAAATTAGTCTGTTTTCCTCCCAGATAACTGCATTTTGGAGAAAGCAGCAGCTTTCAGAGAGGTTGGGGGCAGTGTAAGAACCATCTCCTCAGTTTGTGGGGTGTGCACAATCCAAGTTTGCTCCCTGGCTCAAATAAAACAAGAGTTTCCACATTTCTGTGCATTCAGTCATCATGGGGTCAGTCACCTCAGCATAGGAGGCAGCTGGGTTAGAGTGCACAGAATAGGAATATGTTAAATAAATTAATAAATAAAAATATTAAATATGTTGGTGAATCTCCACATTGAATTCTCAATGTCCCTTCTGAGGATGTGATTCTGTGGTGACCAAAGGCAAAGAAACACGGCATTTTGGGAGGGTTTCGTGTATAATTTTAAAAATGGCAAGTTTTGTATTTATAGTTTGTCTTTCTGCTTCCAGAAAAGAGGAATAGATGCAAAGGGGATGGAAATCCCCATTTAGGCAGTGTGGTTAGGCATGAGGGGTGGAAAGAAAATACCCTGGGTGTGCCAGAGTTCACAGAGGAGAAAAGATCATGAGTTTCACTGATGGCACCTCATCTCCAGTGAAGATCCCTCTGCCAGTGACCTGCTCATCCTCCCCTCCCAGTGCATTCCTTATCCAAAACCACAAATCTCAAAAAAACCATCAAATCACAATAAGGCTCATGGAACCACCTTGAGTTTCTTCCAGGGACTGTGTGGCAGAGGGCAGTGTGAGGAATGCCACCTCTCCTCTCTCCCTTTCATTTTCCCTTCCCTTCCTGTGGGGTTTTTCAGGGGTGGGGACATCCCTGGTACTCCAGAGCTCTGTTCTGCTGCCCGCAGGTTCTCGATGTGAGTCCCAAGCAGGATGCACCATGTCTCCCCTGCACCAGCTCTGACCATGATGGCCACCCAGACAGTGCCTCCTCCTCCCTACCAGGACACCCCACAGGTGAGTGTCCTCCAGACCCCCCAGGACCCCCAACTCCTGCATTAATTACCTTGATTCCCCAAATAATGCCCATTAGAAAATAATGCATTCATCTCAGAACTGGCAGAATTAAAACCTCTTCTGTCAGTCTGCAAGATGGAAGATTTTGGGTTAAACTATGGGGTTTTTCCCTTTTTTGGCTTATGTCTTAAGCTGCGCCGAGGGAAATTTAGGTTGGATGTCAGAAAAATGTTTTTTTACTGAAAGAGTGATAAAGTTCTGGAATGGCTGCCCAGGGAGGTGATGGAGTCCCCATCCCTGGGTGTGTTTAACAAAGCCTGGAGGTGGCACTGGGTGCCAAGGTTTAGTTGAGGTGTTGGGGCTGGGTTGGACTCAATGATCTTGAAGTTCTCTTCCAACCTGGTGATCCTGTGATTTTCTAAATTCTGTGATTTTGGAGTCTTTGGGTCTTCTTGGAAAGCTGGCACAGTGGCATGGTTGCAACTAGCAGGTGAATTAGCTGGAAAGATGAAATATTTAACTAAACCAGGACAGATTTAGTCATAGGAATAGCCTTTGATTTATTTTAATGGCATTTTTTAATAACCTGTGACAGGGGAGAAAAAAAGATTTCATCTCCAATGGTGCTCTAAGCAGTCAGATAACTTTTTCAAGCATCGTTGTGGAGTCAAATTATTATAAAAAGAGGAGTTTGTCTAAGAGAAACTCCTCTGGAGCACCCCAGAGGGCTGGACTTGGGAGTTGAGGATGGATTTTGGAGATGGTCTTGTACCCTAAAGCCTAAAAAATGGATTTAGGGGATGGTGTTGCACCTTGAAGCCTAAAAAATGGATTTTGGGGATGATGTTGCACCTCAAAGCCTAAATTTACCCCTAAGAAATCCTGAGGTTTTTTAGGGATAAATTTATATCACATTTCTGCTTTTCCAGCTACAATGACTAAACAGGGGTGATCTGTATTGTGCACTGAGGCAGTTCCATGTTCAAAGCAGAATTTTTTGTGTTCATGTGGAAGATTTCAAGCTTTTCCTTATTTGCTGTGTTTCTCATCTGCGAAAGCAGAAAAATCTCCCCTCCCAACAAAAAAAAACCCCAAAAAAACAAAACAAACCAAACAAAAAGCAAACAAAAAACCCCACAAAAAAAAAAAACCAACAAAACAAAAAACCCCAAACAAAAAAAAAAAAAAAAAGAAAAAAGGAAAAAAGAAAACGAAAAACCCACCAAAAAAATCTCACCCCCCAAACCTGTCCTCTGCAAGCTAAAATAAATAAATTGACTTTTACACCCCCCCTTGGAGCCACCCGTGTCTCCTTTCTCCTCATTTCCTTCGGTGGGAAAAGGTCACTCCTCACAAACGACACTCGCTGGGGTTTTATGGCTCCTCCAACTTCTGTGTCATCATTTACTCGCTTCGCTGCTCTGCCTTGAGTAGGGCTGGGGATTTTTTTTTTCTCCAAATTTTTTTTCCCTTTTCTCTCTTACACAGCGGGGGAGCCACGGCACCGTTTGAGTCCTAATGGGCAATTTAAGGGACTTTTTAAAATAGCCACATTTTCCCCGGCATCCTTTGGAGATTTCCCCTCTCCCTTCTCCCTCCTTGTCCCTTCTCTGCCCCCTGTTTGAATATATTGAATTTTGGGGACCCTCAGGAGCTTTGCTGACCAAATCCTTCCCTTTTTTTTACCTTATCAAGGAGGTTGCTCAAGCGTTTAGTGGGTTTGGAAGGAAAAGCTGCAGCCAAGAATTGATTTTTATTTTTTTTTGACTGCTGTGAACTTTTCACCTGAAAATTTGGGATTTCCAGGGATTGGAAAAGCAAATTGCACAAATTTCTTCTCTCCAGAAGTGAGGAAGAAACGGGGAGGAGTGGATAAATGGAAAAATTATTGATTATCAGAGCTACAATGAGCTCCTCCTCGTCAAGGGAAGCACTTTGGGGAGAAAAGTGCAAAAAAAAAGGGATTTGGGGAGCTTTGCATTGATGTTTTACAGCAGAGGCTGTGCAAGCTGTCACCCTCAGTGTCAGAAACAGCAAAAATGAAGCAGAAATGATGGAAAAAGCTGCTTTTTGGAAGGAAAAAATGCTTCATTAATCCCTGGAATCTGTTAAAGGAGTGGAACATGGAGCATCTTTCACACCAAGCATGATCTCATTGAGTTCTCTACCTGTTGAGAATTAAAATCTGCATTAAAATCAGTTTTCTGTAAGGAATGACAACCAAAAGCTGAGGAAGAATCTTCAGCTATTTCAATGGAAAAAAGAGGTTTTTTAAAAATAGGTATTTTTAGCATCAAAAGTGGTGAAAGCAGCTTTGCCCTTCCAAAAAAATGCTTCTTAGGTGGTCACAAGAGGGACAAAAAAGGGAGGAAGGGGGATTAATTAATTAATTAACTTATTTATTTATTTATTTATTTATTTATTCTAAAAATATATTTAAGAAAAAGTGTTATTAAAAATTGGGTTAATTTTTAATAAATTTCAGCACAGAAAGTGATAAAAAGCATCTTCCCCCCGAGTGGTTACAACAGGGACAAAAATGAGCAATAAATAAATACATTATCAACGTATTTTCTAACAATACAATTACTAATAATTGTAATAATACAATTACTCTATAAATATATTTTGAAAAAAATTAAAAATCAAATGGAGAAGTTGATTTTTCCTATTTTTCAACACAGAAAGGGATAAAAGTATCTTTCCTCCTCCCCCCTTCCCCACAAGAAGTGCTTTTTTGGTGATTATAACAGGGACATATATATTTAAATTTATTTCATTTATTTATTTAAATTTTATATTTTCTATATTTAAAATGTATTTTAAGGACATTTTGAACAGAATTTAATTTTTTTTCAACATTTTAGCATCTCTTTTTGTATTTTCTACATTTTAAAGCATTTTGGATTTTTACAAACATATTTTTTACATTTTTCTTCATTTTGAATAAGTTTTAAAGATATTTATAAAACATTTTTTTAATTTTCACATCTTTGAACATGTTTGTAGCATTTTAAATCTTTACTTTTTCAGTATATTTGTAAACACATTTTGAATAGATTTGACACATATTTAACAAATTTTTTAACAGTTTACATAATTATTGTCACCTTTATAATTTTTTTCACTTTTTTTGCTGCTTTTCAAATGTAATTTTTGTGCTTTTTATTTTCCTTTTTCATTTACTTTTCTCCCTCCTCCTCCAACTATTTGTGGCCATTTTCCATGGGAAAAAGAAAGCAAACCAAAACCCACCTGTGTTTTTTTGTCAAAATTTACAACTTTTACACCCAAATATTTCCTCCTATTTCCCACTACCAAGAACCTGCTGCCTTTTCCCTCCCCACCTGTTCCCCTAAATTCCATTTTTTGCTCCATTTTTTCCCCTCCTCCCTATTCAGCTGCAAATCTCCCCCATCTCAGCATCCTCTCCCCTCTTTTTCCATAGACTTGGAATTATTTTTTACTTATTTTTTGTTCTTTTCTTTAGTCCAAGGTGAGGTAATGGCTTCAGAGCAGCCCCAAAGGAAGCTTCTTTTTTTTTTTTTTTTTTTTTTTTTTGGGTAATAGCTCAATTAGTTGCAGACTTGGCTGGAAATATTCAACTTGGCAGGATGCAAAAAGGGCTTTGGAATCCTGGTAAATAAGTGTGATGATGGGGGGAGGATAAAAAGGAAAAAAAGGGAAAAGGTTGGGAGGAAAAGCCATTTTTCCCTGCATAAATGTAATTTTCCATGGAGATAATAGGGGGGAAAAAAAAAGGGAAAAAAGATGAAGAGATATTCAGTGATGTGGCTGGATTATCCCAAAATCTGCTGTGTTTTTATTTTAAATGGAAAATGTGGGGGAAAAAGGAGAAATCCCAACTGCTGTGATCAGGAGGGGAAGTGAAGCCCAAATTTCTCTCATTTCTGTAGCACCAGGGAGGGGAAGAGGGACAGAAATTGAACCTGTGGGGAGAGTTGGAAATTAAATAGAGCCAAGTGAATTTGCAGGTGCTGGAGCCCAACTTTGGAGTTATGAACAATAAAGGAGATTGAAAAGAAAAAAAAAAAAGTGGAAAAAAAGCGACAGCAAAAGGTCAGGCAGGAGATATTAAAGGCAAACATTTTAAAAGCAAAAGGTGTCATGATTTTGGTCCAGCTTGGGTTTATAAAGTTTTACATATTTTTGTATAAATATACATATTGCATTTACACTAATTAATGACATGATAATTTATGTATATGAACATTTTTATATATTAACAATCACAAGTAAATTTAAAGATATATTAGACAAATAAATAAAATATACATATAAATATATATATATATTATTTATTTTATATAATAATATTTATATATTTTTCTATATATATAGAAATATTTGTAAAAATATCAGACAAATAAATAAAAATATTATTTATATCAAAACACAGACAGGAAGATATAAATGTATTAGACAAATAAATTAATTATATATATAATATTTAGCAATGCTATATTATATAATAAATAAATTATAAGTAAAATTATATATTATCTATAAAACTAGATATAATTTTATATATATAAAATTATATATAAATTAAAATTACATATAATAAATTATATATATAACGTTTAGCAAGAACCAGAGCTTCCTTTTGCTCTATGCCTCGAGGGAAGACTGAACATTTACAGGTAAAAATAGGCAAATACTAATTTTTGCACAAATTTCAGCAGAGAGGCAGGCAAACCAACCACTTTGCAACAGTTTTTCACTGGGATTTTAGTCTGAAACCTCTGGATTTGGGGTGCTGATGCATTTGAGCCTCAGTTGTTTCAAATTCTCCCTGAAGTTTTTTTTAATGGAATCTTGTGTTGATAATGCAAAGGCCAGGTTGGACCTGTCTCAAGTCTGACAATGAGTAATTCAGATTTTTTTCTTTAAGTTTTAAGTGAAAACTGCCCCTAAATAGGTGTTGCCCTGTTCCAGAAGGTGTTGGATGTTGGAAGGATGCTCAGGGATTCACAGGAGATACATATTTACCTAAAATCACGGCTGTTTTTAAAACAAGCACAATGTTTGTAGTCAGGGTGATGTATTTCACATTCCCATTGGGGCTAAAGTTGGGTGATTTGGGCATGGGCACCAAAAAAATTAGATTTTTTTTGGCTGTCTTCTCACAGCTCTGAGGTGACTCATTGCTGGGCTTGGCGAGCTGGAAGAGGCTCACCTAATTTGGGGATAAAATTGAAAATGACTCTGTCTAGACAGTAATACCTGCCTTGAAAGGGCTCTTGGCAAACCACGGTGCTGCCGCTGATTTAATCTGGGACTTGTGTGAAACATAAATTACCCCACACAAGAAAGATGGTGGGAGTTTTTTCCTGTATTTCCCCTGGTGAAAAGTGGGAAAAGTTGGGGAAAATGTGTGAAAATCTAAACCTTCTCTTTCCAGGCAAAGATAAAATGCCTGGGTGTGTTTTACCTGCCCCACCAGAGCGCTGCATCCTGAACTCCCCAAATTCTGCACAGAACACTGCAAAACCTGGCAGGAAAGCACAACAAACCCTATTATTATATTTATTTTATTTTGTTGTATTTTATTTCACATTTCTTTTCCCCTCTCTCCTGTATTCCCTGCCCTCTCCAGATGACAGCCACAGCCCAGCAAAGCCTAGAATGCTGCATCCCAAACTCCCAAAATCCTGCACAGAACTCCGCGAAACCCATCAGGAAAGCACAACAAACCCTGTTTTTATTTTATTATTTTATTTTATTTTATTTTATTTTATTTTATTTCACATTCTTTTTCCCCTCTCTCCTTTATCCCCTGCCCTCCCCAGATGACAGCCACAGCCCACCAAAACCTAGAACGCTGCATCCTGAACTCCCAAAATCCTGCGCGGAACACCATGAAACCCATCAGGAAAGCGCAACAAACCCTGTTTTCATTTTATTATATTTTATTTCACTTCACATTCTTCTTCCCCTCTCTCCTTTATCCCCTGCCCTCTTCAAATGACAGCCACAGCCCAACAGCCCAGCAAAGCCTAGAGCGCTGCATCCTAAACTCCCAAAATCCTGCCCAGAATGCTGCAAAACCCGTCAGGAAAGCACAACAAACTCTGTTCTTATTTTATTATTTTATTTTATTTTATTTTATTTTATTTTATTTCACATTCTTTTTCCCCTCTATCCCCTGCCCTCCCCAGATGACAGCCACAGCCCACCAAACCCTAGAGCGCTGCTTCTCGAACTCCCCAAATCCCGCGCAGAACACCGCGAAACCCATCAGGGAAGCGCAACAAACCCTGCTTTCATTTTATTGTATTTTATTTCACATTTCTTTTCCCCCCCTCTCTCCTTTATCCCCTGCCCTCCCCAGATGACAGCCACAGCCCAGCAGCCCACCAAAGCCCAGCCCGTGCACCTCACCACGCCGGCAGCAGCCGCCAACGCGCCGGTGCCGTCAGCGGGCGGCGACCCCCAGGCACAGCTGGAGGCCGACAAGAGGGCTGTCTACAGGTGAGGCAAGATAATTGCATTCATTAATGCCTTTTAATTAATGGCTTCGTTGCTGGAATGCATCAATTATTGCATTGTTGTGGGTTGTTGCATCAGTTCGGCGATGCATTAATTAATGCATCAGTTGTTTGATGCATTCGTTGTTATGATGCATTATTAATCTGCTGTTCTTCTAATGCATTAATTAACACACAGGAAGGGGGGAATTAGCAATTAGCTCCTTTTTAGCAATAATAACCATTGATTGTAACGTGTGGTGATGGAGCTCCTTTGTGGATGTTGTTCTCCAGCATCTCTGCCCCTTTAAAATATTAAAAAAAAACCCCCACATTTACTTTTTCGGGGCAAAGTCTTGTGATTTGGGGCTGAACAAAGAGTGAAGTCACACATTAACCTGAAATGTGCAGTTCCTGCATCTGCACAGGATGTGGGCAGTGATGGATGACTCCTCCAGTCCATTTTTTGTCAATTTGGGCATAATAATATATAATATTTTAATATATGCAGTAATATTATTGTATAACTACTATAAGTACTGTTTTAATTATGTAAACAGTATAATTATATAAGTAATATGTAATTATACAGGTGATATGTGATAATTTACAAATCATAGAGCAATGATGCAAGAGTAACAATATTCTAATATAATTAGGATTAAAGTTTAAGGTTTAGGATTAACCTATCAATGACCAGGGCTGTGGGGGCTTGTGAACCAAAAAATTGCAGGTTAGACTTGAAGGAAATAAAATATTTGTCCTCCAAATATCAAATATTACAAGGCTGAAAGGTGTGAAAAAGTGGATGAAGGTATGGAATAAAGTCACTCTTTCCCAGGAAAACACCAAGAATTATTTACTGCAGGTCTCCCAGTGATGGAAATCATTTCCTCAAAGACAAAAGAAGCCATTTGAGGGCAAAATTACATTTTTTTGCCCTTCCTTGAGGAGTTCTGCAGCATTTGTGGCATAAAGGGAAGAAAACAAACCCCACCCCACCCTGGAGTTTTCACAGCCTTAATTGGAATGTCAAAGACATGGAAAAAACACCTTGTGGGAGGTATTGCCCCCAGAAAACTGGGGGGAAATTGTTGTCCAGCTCCATGTGTGCACTTATTGCCCAAACCTGGATGCTTAATTTTGGGTACTGACTGAAATAACCCCACAAATATATTTTTATATAAAACAAATATATCCTACTATATATTTATGCAATACATTATATATATGCATAAAATTAATCTTTTTTTGCGGAATATCTCCCTATCCAGTGGTTCAAATAGATGGTGTGTGTGTCATTAGGTATCAAAAGCACACAAAGATTTTTCTTAGCCCTCCTAGTTCCATTTCCCTCCACCCAAACCAATGGATTTTTTGTTAATTTTCAATAATTGCACCAAGGCAGAATGCATTGGCTGTAAGCATCAGTCGATCAAGCTGGAGGGAAATTGCTGGGAAAATGTGATGGGAAATATAAAAAACCCATGGACAAGTCACCCTGCCGGGTTTTACGCCCTAGCAGGAGGTTTATCACCCGTTAAAAAAATAGAAAAAAGGGGAAAAAAATAAATCCTTCCCCACCCTTGTTGGTGTGGGAGCAGCTTGGCAGGGACTGGTCCAGCAGTGCCACTGCTCAGCTGCAATTTTCTCCCAGCTAAAGTGTTTTCTTGACTTTATGCAACATTGGGGCTGGGACTTCCCAATGGATTTTGGACCAGAGAAGATGATGCTCCTGAAGGGAAATGATGCTTAAACCACCCAAGCACCACAAATTGGGTTTTTCCAAGTGAATTTCTTTGCATTAAGTTTGGTGGGGGCTTTTTGTGGGGATTTGGCTTTTTTGTTTTGTTTTGTTTTGGGCTGTTAGAGGTTTTTTTAGGGGAAAAGGGGTGAAAAAAAATAAAATTCCAGTTGTGACATGCCCGCTGTGCTGCTGGCTCGGCTGAAGGTGGGAAATTAGGCCATTAGAGGAATTCATTCCTCTTTATTAGCCCGTGTCGAATCCTTTTTATTAGTGGCTGCAAACGACCTCTCTCCTGCAGGAAAATGTCAGGGCTGGTTCAGCCCTTTCATTTGGAGGATTCCCTGGCAGAAAAAAAACCCAACTAAACAAACCAAGTTTTTTTTTTTTCCAAAACTAAATCACTAAAAGCAGATTTTTCTACCCCAAAACTCTCCTTTGTGCCATAGGGGTGGTTTTCCACCTCTGTAAAACCCACAGTGGGGAAAATCCTCCTGATTCCCCTGTGCAGCCTGGATATCCATCTATTCCCCCCACTGCAAATTTCATGGCAAAAAGGGGCTCCAGCTCTTAATTTTTATGCCACAACCTCCACCTGCTGTGGTGGGCCGTCTGTTCCTTTGCATGGTGTGAGCATGGAAAGGCTGGAAATAAGGAAAACGTGGTTTGGGTTGGTTTTTTCCGTGCAAAAATGAAAAAAAAACCAAAAAAATTCCACAATAATTTGGCATAAAGCTCATGGCAAACCCCCAAATTCCAGCACTCCTTGAGACTGCCCTCCTTGGTGCCCTTCTTTAACCCATCCCTGGGGGTCTTGGCCCCCTGATTTCCCCTTGTGTTTGCTTTTGTCATTTTAAAAAATATAGATATTTTAAATTTGGGGGGTTTTTTTGTTTGCCTAATGTTATTTTATCTTATTTGGTGTTTATTTAATTGTTTTGTTCCATTTAATTTTATTTTGGTGGATTTGATCGAATTGGATTCCGCTTTGGTTTTTCTATTTTATCTTAGGTTTTAAATGTTTTATTCCACTTTATTTTCAGCTGAAAAGCAAACCATTGTCCCCTCAGCCAGGTTTCTTCCTCCTCCTACTCTCTGCCAGCCCCAAACCTTTCCTGGGGACCCAGAGCAGCATTTTCCCCATTGTCAATACTGAGGAGCACGGGGTGATGCTGGCCTTAATGCAACCCCTCAAAGAAAAGGGGCTCAAATATCTCAGGGGCTTTAACCCCCTTTTCCCTCCCCACACCCCCATCCTTGGGGTAATTCCATACCTCGGCTCCTAATTGTTGGAGCAGCTCTGGAAATGGCAGCAGGCACCTGCTGCGGTGGCACCGTTCATAAGTCCCAATAATTCAACTTTCCGCCTGGAATTTGCCTTTCATATCCCTTGGCTAAGCTCCAGCGGGGCGACTGAAATTATGAAATGATTTCCCCCCCTCGCCACTCTCTGCTCCAGCCTCGGTGAATCTTGCATTAAACCAGGATCAGGACAGATTAAACTATAATATGCTGTGGTATTAGCGGCTGCAAATGAAGACTTAGCCAAGGGGTTTAACCCCTTCGCCTGACTCCGGCTCAAAGAGGCTGTCAGGAGGTGATTCATAATCATCTTTTGGGCCATCTTTTGGAGATAAAATGGTGGAGCCAATCCCATTGTGCTCGGGTAACTGGAGTGCTGTGGGAGGCCATTCCTGCAGGAGCATTTTGCATTTCTGCCTGGAAAGACTCCATAAAACATTTTTGATTTGAATTTGCACAGCTGGAGGGGCTCATTGAGGCTTGCTCTGAGCTGTGGTCTTCATCCCTGAATTGTCCACGAGCTTTGGTGCTGTTTGTGTGTTTGCATTTTATATTGCATCATCATTGGAGAGATTTGGGTTTCAAGGAGAACTATAAATCTTTGTTTTCAAAATCATCTCATGGTAAGAAAGAAGTGGGATTTGACCCATCTTTGTGGACTTGCCAGAGGTGCAAAGGGCCCATAACAAGGTTGATCCATAGGATTCTGCAAGCAGATAGAAGTCCCCATCCATCAATTCCAACCAAAAAGACATTTTGAGGTGAAATATTACCATCCATGAGCAGGTGCTGATGTCCATCCTTGAAAGGAAAAGCCACTTGGACAGCAGATGGCTCCAGGACATCTTGGCTATGTCCAAGACTTAACCCTTTTGCCTATTTTGGAAATGCTGACTTTGGTGCAATGATGGAAAACACCAAGACATTGGAACAAGCCTGATGGAGGAGATAGTGAATTTTACAATATTTGAGCTTTTTTGTTGTTGTTGTTGAAAGAGATCTAGAGGGAGCACTTCCAGTGTGACTTTGGAGTGAGGTTTGCACCACCAGGTTCTTACAGACTGGGAGGGAACGGATGGATGGATGGATGGATGGATGGATGGATGGATGATGGATGGATGGATGGATGGATGGATGGATGATGGATGGATGGATGGATGATGGATGGATGGATGGATGGATGGATGGATGGATGATGGATGGATGGATGGATGGATGGATGATGGATGGATGGAGGGATGGATGGATGGATGGATGGATGATGGATGGATGGATGATGGATGGATGGATGGATGGATGGATGGATGGATGGATGGGTAAAGGTGGACATGGGACCCAAAACAGTGGGAGTCATGGGTGCTGTCCTTTTTTCCTCTGCAGGCACCCTCTGTTCCCGCTGCTGACGCTGCTCTTTGAGAAGTGTGAGCAGGCCACGCAGGGCTCGGAGTGCATCACCTCGGCCAGCTTCGATGTCGACATCGAGAACTTTGTCCACCAGCAGGAGCAGGAACACAAGCCCTTCTTCAGCGACGACCCCGAGCTGGACAACCTGGTATAGGCAGCTGGGGCTTGGCAGATGATTTTGGGGGGTGTTGAAAAGTTAGGGGGTGAGGAACAAAGGAAGATCTACCGCCATGTCTCTGGGCTCTGTAGTGCTGGCCATCTTGGCAAGGTTTTCCACAGACCTTTTGAGACCTTCTCCAGGACCTTCTCTGAGACATTTTCCAGAAGATACCCTGTAAGAACAACGCCCCTGCCCCCTTTTATCCCCCACAACCTCTATGGGGTCAACGAGGTTCCTGAGAACAGCTGAGGTCACTGGCTGGTTTGTGCCCCAAAAGTTGCAGTCTCTGTAGGAATTACTGCTCCTCAGTGCAACGTGCAGTAGTGTCAGTGTGCTTGTCTTGCACCATCTGGTGTGAAGTGTCATGGCCAGCTCGTGTCCTAGGAGCAGGGCAGAGTGATAACTTTATGGAAAAAGTTATGGAAAAGGTCATGGATCACAGCAGTTTGGAACACTTGGACTGGCTTTGGTGGATCCCCTGCCACACCAACTCAGATTTCCTACTGCATCCATTGCTGCTGGATGGTGCCTCAGAAGACCCTGCTTTGGATTTCTCTTGTGTGGACCTCAGGAAATATCCCCAAATCCTGGTATTTTGTCCAGAAGAGCATCCACACATGGTCTCCATGGCAAACGTGGGTGGACAAGTTTGTGGCACCATCCTGATGCTCCACAAACAGATTTTCAAGGTCTGAGAGAGAATTCTGCGCACCTCTGATGATGCAAACAACAAAACACCTCCCCTGAGGGGTTCTGTGTCCCCTGGGACTTGTAGAAGAGGGATTTCCATTCCAAAAAAGAAGCAAAATCAGGCAATTCACAGACTCCTTTTTCCAAGTATTGCAGGTATCAAGGAGGGGATTTTGAATGGTGATATCACAAAGGGAAGAACTAGCAAAACTTATCTAGGTGTAAGAACTACTGTCTTTTTAAAAAAGCAAGAGAAGATTTCAAGCACATTAGTGCCCTATTTCAGCTTGTGGAAGAGAGTTTTTTAGCATCCCTAAATCAAGAGTCTGCAGCATGCCCTCCAAAAAAATTGTAGGCCCCCTTTTGCATATTGCTAAACTCATTTTGCAGTGACTTGTAGTCAAGAACAGAAATTGCTCTGGGACAAGCAATCAAAAAAACCCCCAAAAAACAAAGCCACAAAAACCCAATAACCCAACCAATGTTTGGGATTATTTCAGTTTTTGGACTTAACTACTGCTGAGGTGCACCAACAAACCTCCATTGCATTAAATTGCGTAAAAATGGGTGTAAGGATCTATCAGGAGGATAGAAATGGAGCCAGATGAAGGAAAAAGAATCTAAAATTTTGGGAAAGGAAAACCTATTTCTGTGCATATCAAGATGAAACATCAGCAGCAAATAGTCAGGGCAGGAAATGTATCCACACTGGCTATTTTCAGGTTTTGTGTGGTTTCTAAAAAAAAAAAATAAACCCACATCACACCTATCATTTTTAGGCATAATCTGAAGCAACTCTTGCTGCCAGGGTGACCATGGGCAGTTGGATTGATCCCACTGATGCCATGTATGACCTTACAGACTTGATACATTCATGTTCATATATTTCTATATCTGTTGCTATGTCTTTCTATGTGTCTGTATCTCTGTTTATCTGGGTTTGCCTGGTTCTAGTACATAGCTGGATGTATATTTTCTATCCAATGACCAGAAATTCACCAAAAAAGGAGGAACCATGCACCTCAGTGTGGGTAACCTGCATCAAGACAGAGAAGATGGTTGATATGATGCTGGAGAAGCACATTCCTCTTGTTGGGAGGGAATTTTGGGTTAAAAACACTTGCAGTGCTCAAAACTCAACATTTCAGCCTGCTCTTGAGCTGTCACTTTTCCTCTATTTACATTGTCCTTATTTTGGTTGTTGTTATTTTTCGGATTTTGTTTTTTCTTTTTTATTAACGCCACCCATTTGCCAGAAACTGGTGATGGCACAGCAGGGCTGAAAAGGCCAGTGGCATTAGCTATCATTAGAATAAGAGTCATGTATTCCTCGCTGCCAAGATGCACATAATTAGAAATTAGAAAAAGGTCAGATCTCACCATTATCAACTCAATCAGCTGCCGAGTGCCACACAGTCAATTAATTCAGCATCTGTATTTTTTACAACCCCGCGCACGTACGCCGTCGGACTGTAACTCTTTATCCGGACAGATATACGACGCAGCGGAGCAGGGACATAAAATGAGACCCTAAGCAAATGAGCTGAGATAATTGAGAGATTTATTTTTTTACATATATGTGTCAGGTCTTCTTGCCTTTGCCCTTGAATATTGACTTTCATGGCCGGTGAGCCCTGGGAGGGTGCGGAAATCCTGGGCACGACACCTCCACCTTGTGCTGTGCCTGTGTCAACTGCTGAGGAGGGGAAAAAAAGAAGAAAAAAAAAAAGAAAAAAGCAAAAAAAGAAGCTAAATAAAAGATTTTTCCAGCCTCAACCCATCATCCCTGCTGTTCACGAACCAAAAATTCACTTTCTCTGTCGTGGAGCTGCCACTGGAGTTTGGCCCTGGATTTTTCAGGATGTTTCCCAACCACGGCAACTTGCAGTTTGTAAAGATGACCACTAAAATTTGCAAGTTAAAAACACTCTTTGAAATGCAAAGACGCTTTGTTACATAAAACCGGATTTATTGCCCCGGAGTGAATAGCTGAAATTTTATATATTATGCAAGATTTCAAACAGCGGCTGTAAAACTTAAGGTTTCAGCTCGACGAGAGGAATGTTTTATGTGTAAATTTTTTAAGGTTTATGGGGTACGTTTTAATGAGGCCCAGGCTTTGCACCAGCAACAGCTCACGGCTGAGCTGCAGCCCCGTAATCTTGTTAGAAGAAGTGGCCTCCAGAGAATAACCAAACACTTTTCAACAACGAGGAGATTGGCTTGTGCTCTTTTTTTGGGGCATGGGGAGCAATTCCCATGAAGGCAATGGTGAATTTGGTGAATTTTTTCCTCTTGGATCTCATCTGATTGATGGGCAAGGAAAAGGAATGCAGATATGCAGAGGGATGGGCTCTGGGATGGGTTTTGGGCAAGGATATTCATTTCTTGTGCGTGTTGAGAAAGGAAATGAATTTCATTCTGCTGTAGGGGATCAGTTCTCCGTTAGATTTTGGGGGAGAATCTTGATTTTAACTCTGTGCCCTTGTGCAGATGGTGAAGGCCATCCAGGTGCTGCGCATCCACCTCCTGGAGCTGGAGAAGGTCAATGAGTTGTGCAAGGACTTCTGCAACCGCTACATCACCTGCCTCAAAACCAAGATGCACAGTGACAACCTACTCAGGAACGACCTGGGGGGGCCCTACTCCCCCAACCCCTCCTCCATCAGCCTCCACCCCCAGGTAATGCCTTAAAATTCCTCTCCAATAACCAGTGTTCTACTTGGGCCAACAGGAGTTGCCAACAAGGTTTCAGACTTGCTCTACAGGAGCTGTGGCCTCCTGAAAAGTCATCAGTCCATCCCCAAGAATTAAAAAATAATCGTGTGCTTTGCTCATAGAGTGCAATAAATGATGTTGTGGTGACTTTTTTCCCCTTTTTTTTGAATTTTTTTAAGTCCTTTTTTGCATGTGTTGGCAGAGCTGCAACCCCAATGATTGTGGCTCTGCAAGAGACTCCTGAACTCTAATGTTGCAGCAATTAAATGTGAGGGCAAGGGAGCTGTGCAAGTGTGTGGGAATCTAAACAAGAAAGTTGCATTTTTTAATGAAAAAAATCCTAGTTGTTGGCAGGAAGGAGAAAACATCAGGATTTTCTCTACTGTTTCTCTCTCACTTTTTGTTTTAAGGCAGCTCAAAGGATTTTTGGGTCTCAGGTAACTCCTTCTGGCTTTGCTGCTCCTTTTTGTGTCCCAGCAGATCTTGCAGTTCTCCCCCAGCAAGATCAACATTCCCTTTGCTTCTTCTTTTGCATAATTTGGATTTTAGCTGGGAAAAGAAGACAAGGATAGTGGAAGAGTACAAGGAAATGACCGAGAACTGCAGAAATATCACCTGAAGTAGCCAAAAGGAGTTGAACCTTGGTGTCTTTGGGGGCAAAATAAGGGACTGTAACTCAATATTCAGAGAAGCTGCCCATGGTTGAGGTTTTCATGTGCATCTGCAGTGCAGGGAACACATCTTGGCTGCTTGCATCCCAAAAAACTTGATGCTAGATTGTGTTCCCCTACGGCATTTCCCTCTCTCAGGCTCTTGGTTTTTGGGGTAGAAAAATGGAATTTAGGGTTGCACAGTCCCACCAGAAATAACTGCAGTGAACCCAAAATAACCTAGGCAGCTCCTGGAGCTCTCCCTAAAAAGGAGGGAGGTGCTGGGGCCTTCTCCAGGCTTTTGGGGCATTTTTAAGGTGGTGGAAAGGAAAAAAAAAAATCATTTTTAGCAGCTCAGCTCCAGGTGCTGCAGAGTTTGAAGCTCCCAACACGATGAGGGAAAAGCCCCCCAGAAAAGTTCAGTTTCTTATTTAGGTTCCCTGAAAGCAGCAAACCACTTAATCATTGATCTAAGAAACCCCATCCTCACTCTATATTCTAATAATCTCTAGAAATAGACTTATTATCCCTTGGCTGCTTTATGGAAGCATTCCTTATGATCAAAATTAGCAAGACACTTGCATAAAAGAGAACAATAATTGCTCAACGAGCATCTCGTTTGTAATTTATTAGTTTCTATTATTGTGCATTGCCATGGCAACAGCTCACATCCCGGGTGATGAGAGAGATGTTAGATATGAGCCGACAAAGCTCCCGGTCCCAGCAAATGGAGATGCACGTTTTTTATCAGTAATTTTCATGAAAATAATAAGTGAGGGAGTTAATGAGATGGAAAGCCGTCCTGTGGCTATTGTGAATTTTTTCCCCCCCCTTCCTCCTTCCTTTTTTTTTTTTTTTTTTAAGTGTTGATCTAATTAGAATGCATCGGTCAGGAAAAGTAATGAGGATTTAGTGTCTCACAAAGAGGTGGGGATCATATCAGAAAATTAGCACAAGTCTTTGGAAAATAATCAGGCCCATGGAGAGGTACCAAGAGCTTCTGATTCCTGGAAACCCAGAGCTGCTGCCATTTCCCTTCTGGGCCAGGCTTGAAAGTTGAGGAATTCAAGTTTGGAGGATTTGGAGGCAGTTGTGAAATAAACGGGAACACACCCAGGAAAGACCCAACTGGAGGGGAAACGTTGGCTCAGCCCCTGAGGGATTTTCAGAAGGTGGAGCTGAAATATTCACAGTGATGGCCCATGATAGAACCACCATCTCATCTGGTCATGGGATAACGATGACAGACCAGTGACAACACAAATATTTTCCAACTACGCCATGCCAAGTGCTTGAGTGCTTCAACTCTTTGAGTCTACTTGAGTTTGCACAGATAAAGAAAGGTAGAAATGCTCCATATCCATCAGCTGAGTTTTAGAGAGTAAGGATGCTCCAGAGAGCTGAAAAATCATGAGATTGGTGTTTAAAAAATGGCAAGTGGGATCATTTCTCTAATTTTCAGCCTGTTGGTTTCATGCTGAGGGGACGTGCATAGGCCATTAATTCAGGATTTTAAAAAAATCTAAATAATGAAATGTAATTAGTATCAATGAAGGAGGTGTCCCAGAAAATAGGTTTTCTTAGGATTTGGAAAGAACATCAATCATTTGGTGTTGAGATACACCAAGTTTGTCATGAAAGTGAAATATTTCAGGTTTTGGCTAGGTTTTTTACCACAAGGCATGTTTAAAAAATTATGGGCACACAATAACAAGGATATCAACCAAAACTGAGGAAACAATGCCTGGACCTGTGAAAATGTCATCTCAGGACAATCTGTTGGATTTCCCTGGTGCATCCAAAAAGGATGGTCCTTTGCCTGCTGCTATTTCTGCTCTCTGAGATGGAAAATGCAAGAATTTTTGGAGATGCAAAATGACTGAGATGATGGGGAGATGAGAGAACACCCAGACAAAGTGTTTTGGCTGTTGCTGAAATCTTCTTGTGTTGCCAGGTCCAGAGATGATTCCTGGTTTTGGCCAAGTTTGGGTGACAATCTGGGGCTTTCCCATGTGATGAGTCTTCCCTGAACTTTCATAACCTTACAAAGATTTTTGTGTCCTCTTTTCTCCATTGCTTCCTCATTTTGTGCTTTGCTTTGTCTTGTGATTGAGTCATTTCCTCTTTGGCCTGCAAGTCCACCAAGCAATCAATTCCTCTTCTATTTTTGTTGGTTGCTTTTTGCTTGGCTTCATTCTTCTACCTCAAGTCCTCATTGGGCCCTTTTTAGCCCCCTCCCTTTATTTAATGAGTATTTTTGAGCTGTTTCTGACCAGGATGGGAGAGGGGAGGTCCTTCTTTCATGGAAGAGGGGGAAACCAATTTAAATCAATGTTTAATTTCAACTTTCCTTTGACATCAAAGGGGTCCTCCTTCTCAACTTGCAAGAAAAAAACATGTGCAAAACCAATCACATTGGGAACACAGCACTGCCAGGGACATTTAAATGGAATCAAATTTTGGTTTTTTCAGCTCTTGTTTCAGATTGGCAGAGTTTGAATGGGCATTTTCAGGACAGCATTTCTTCTTCTCACATTAGTTCTCCACAGAATCAGAGGATGGTGTGGGTTGGAAGGGACCTTAAAGCTCATCTTGTTCCAACACCCTGCCATGGGCAGGGACCTTCCACTGGCCCAAGCTGCTGGTGGACAGTTGGTTTGGTGGGACTCAATGCAGTGCTTCTCTTGATACATATTAATTTATCCAAGTTTGCTCTGTGATCAGCCCTGCATTCCTCTTTATTTAAAGCCAACTTTTTCCTCATCTTCATGCACCCATCCATTCACAAAGTCCAAACTATCACACATGGCTTTGAGTTTGGCCACCTCTTTCTTGGCAAACCCATGGGTTTCTTTTTTTTCCTCCAACTAATCCCAACTTCCCTCAGCACAAGTGATTTTCAGAGTTAGGATGAGACAGATTTTGACACATGGTGTACCACCCAAAACTGATTTATCTGTGTCACAAAGCACAAGGGCAAGGACAGCAGCTCAAGTAGCACTGAATTTTAGCACTTTCTTACAGTTTAGTACTTGGACATTTTCCTTATTGAAAGTAAGGATTTTTTTGTGTCATGTCCCACATCTTTTTCTTCATTGACGTGACTTTTAATTGGGAGAAATCTTGTTTTGCTGTTGATCAGTGCCAAGATGTGGGTCTGCAGAGACACCTAGTGATACATTTGTTTCCACACTCAGATTTCAAAATTGCCAAAAGCATTTCAACTCGAGGGTGGTGCAGCACCAGCACAGGGTGCCCGGAGCAGCTGTGGCTGCCCCTGGACCCCTGGAATGTCCAAGGCCAGGCTGGACAGGGCTGGGAGCAGCCTGGGACAGTGGAAGGTGTCCCTGCCATGGCAGGAGTGGAACAAGATGAGCTTTAAGGTCCCTTCCAACCCAAACCATTCTGTGATTCCATGAACTTCCTTGAGTCTCAAAATATAAAATATATAAGATATTTTCCACTGCAGAACAGAACAGCCTAACAGAATTTGGCTGACATTTGCAATCTGAGGCAATTGGTATGCAAAATATATTTTTTTAAATCTTCTTGGAGATATCTCTCTATATTTATTTGAAGGTGGAGCTTCCATTTCCATTGGGTCACTTTGGTTTCACAGTTCTGTTGCAGAAAGACCATCAATTCCTTTAATGGCTGTTTCTAATAATTACCAATATTCTGCCCTTTTGGACACCAGTGAGATGGTGTTTTGGGAGAGTTGTCCTCTACCTCACAAAAACAATGGCAATTTTTATCATCACAAAATACTGTTGAAAATGGCTTTGACCATTCTATCTGGAAACAGCAGTTTCTTATTCCCATTTTCTGATTGCTTTTACACAACACACTTCCAAAAATGTTGTTCTGGATGTCCTTCTTTAGGAAGAATCCTGGAAGAACAAGGCAGGGGAGGAAAGCTAGAGGTCTTCAAGCTGCTCCAAACTTCTGGTTGCACCTGGCCATGTCCAGCTGCTTTTTGGTGTTCTCCTGGGCCACTTTTGCTTTTTTATGAATATTTCCACTGTGTTTGTCAGCTGGATCCTTTGCCAGGGCCAAATCCAAGAGTGTGCAGAAGAAACTGATTTTTGCTCTCTATATCCTGAGATATATTCATTTCTCAAACTGAAAACTACATCCCCCAGAAGACTGGAGGTGGGGAAGGAATCCTAAAAAAAAAAAAGTACAAGTATTTGACAGTCATATTTGCATTTTTAAAATTAATTCAGCTGTGGAAAGGAATGTCTGGGGATCGAATGAAAAATTCACAGCAATTGCAGCAAAATTTGCAGATAAGAAAAATAACAGGAGTAACTTGTGGCAGAGGAATTGGGTCCAACATTTTGGAACTGGCATCACAGGAGGGGAAAGTGCCATGAGGGGGTTTTAAAAGCAAAAGCCTGACATTTATTGAGAATGATGGCACAGGCAAAGCAGTGGTGATTGGTGGGGGAAAAGTTACATAATGTGATGGGGAGAAGGGGAAAAAAGGAACAGACATCAGGTCCCCCCGCCCTCAGCAATGGGAAATGCATTGAAGGGGACACAGAGCACCCCAAATCCCCACGGGGCAGCACAGCCAGGGCTGGTGTGACATTGGTGCATTCAGAGTCCATCTCTGGAGTTCCATCACCTGGAGAAAGGGAGATGCAGCTTTCCCCACCCTGATCACATTTCCTTGGTTGGCTTTTCCAGTGTCATTGCACATCACTAATCCAGGAAAGTTCTCTTTCCTTAACCCAAATGATAGGATTCCTGAAGAAATGCATGAAAACATAGGAAAAATGAATTAAAAGGTGAAAAAAATCCCCTTTGTTGATATTATGTTCAACACTTGAGAACCAGCTGGCCACCAGGGAAATGATGCAGAATGGGAAAGTCAGTGGAAAAGAGACAAAAAAACAAGTGCAGTTTTATTTCCATTCCAGTTGGGTCAATCAGAGAGATATAGTTATCTTTGGTTTATTTTAAAATGATCATTTTATCAATATTATCAACATTATTTGCAAAATCCTGCCCATGTGGAAGCTTGGAGTACATTGCCCTGTATTCCCCCTGCAGCCTCAATTGTGGGACTCCTCCCTTCCCAAAATGTCACATTAAATACTCAAATAGTCATTTAAATATTAAAATAAATAATCAAATAATCATCCCATTTGGGGGTCTTTTGGTGGTTGCTCCAGAGATGGGCCTTAAAGTAAAATTACAGCTTTTGGCTCAAAAAATTGCCCATTTTTGCAAGAAATTAGCTTAAATACAACCCTATTGATATTGATATCAAGGAGTGATATCAATAGGGTTATATTATTATTAACTTCATTATTTTACTCCAAGGTAAACTGTTGTGCTCACCTGAATTTTAGCAAAGGTTGCATCATCCAGTCCCAGTCAAAGCACCAAAAAAAGAGAAATGTTTAGAAAGAAAAAGATAAAATAAATTCCTTTTGATCCCTCATAATCTTTGTTTTCCCTTTCATATTTTTTTAATGGTGAAGAGTAACTGCACAAAGAAAAAGAGTAACTGCACTAAAGTTTGGTGAAGATGCTAAAGGGGGGTTTGCAGAGCGTAAACTCTTATTTTTACTTTTTTTTTTCCACTTGCAACAAACTGAAAAATCCCATTTCCTGTCATTTTTCTCTGTCAAACCACCAAAATTAAAAAAAAAAAATTGGGGGGGGGGACAAAAAAATGAAACTTTCATGCTGCAATGGATGTGTTTGGTGTTTTGTTTTGTGCAGGAGATGCTGCAGAAAACAATTTCATGCTATTTTTCACATTGAACCACCAAATAAATAAATAAAAAAAAATTAGAGGGGGACAAAAACTTAAAACTTTCGTGCTGCAATGGACGTGTTTGGTGTTTTGTTTTGTGCAGGAGATGCTGCAGAGCTCTCCAGCAGCGCTGCCGCCGGCCTCCAACCCCCCTGCGGGCATCGTGGTGCCCGCGGCCACTCTGCCCCCTGGCAACCTGGCCATGGGCACTGGCAGCAGCTCGCCTGCCGTGCCAGGTAGGCAGGGCAGGGGAGGTGTGGGCAGGGGGCACTCTGGGGGTTTGGGTGCCCCCACACGTGTTTTTTGCCATAGGTGGAGCCTTGTACCAGCCCGTGACGATGGTGACGTCGCAGGGCCAGGTGCTCGCCCAGGCCATCACCCCTGGCGCCCTGCAGATCCCCAATGCCCAGGTAAGGCCTTGCCAGCTCCACTTTGGCACTGCAGCAGGCAGAACCCCCCCATTTCTCCATAAATTCAATCCTTGGAGTGTCTTAAATTTTTAATTAGCAAGAAACGTTGATTAAACCCATCTGCCAGGTGCCTTTGGGGTGCCTAACGAATTATAGCAATGACCTAAGAAGTTATAACAGTGCTTATGTTATTGTTGTAAAATATTACAGCATATAATAATAATGTACATAATATTATTTAGTGCAACATATAACAATATATTTACAATATACATATATATATATATACAATAAACATACATATATATATGTAACAATATCTGTTATTTGTAATGTGTGATAGAACATGGTATTTTATTCTATATGCTTTGTTACATACTGTGCATTGTACATATTCCATATTTATACTTTATATTAATAAATATATATTGGATAGGATAGGATATTAGATAGATAGATAGATGGATAGATGGATAGATAGATAGATAGATAGATAGATAGATAGATAGATAGATATCATGGCTGATATTGCTATTATTGCTGATATCTATCTATCTATCTATCTATCTATCTATCTATCTTTTATATATATCTATATAGATATATAGATATATATAATCTATATATGGATTATATATCATATATATAATCTCTATATAGATTATAGATTATAGATTATATATATGTAGATATATAGATATATAAATAGATTTATCTATCTATCTATATATATTGATATATATATATATATATAAATATATATATCTATATAGATATATATATATATTTTAATCTATATCTATATCTATATCTGTATAAAAATAGATATTATTGCTGATATATTACAGATCTGGGATCACTGGCATTGCCTGTCCAGCACAGCCATCATGGCACTTGTGGGAAAGGCTCATTTTTAGGTCTTCCTTTCTGTATTTGGGGATATTTTTCAGCCATTTGCTCTGGTTTTATTCCTTTTTTTTCCCCCCTGACATTGCAATGAGTTAAGCAATGATCCCTGCATTCTTGCAGTGAGACAATGATTTGGAGCAGAGCTGGAATTATTAGCACAGCTTGTCCATGAGCTCTTCCCAACCCCAGGAATTTGGAAAATAAAAATCCCTTCAATTTCTGTGACACTGCTTCCTGGGGGCAGAGCAGCAGAAATTCACCCCCATTATTCCTGAAATGCCCCATTTTAATTGCAGGAGCTTCTTATCAAACAATCAATAAACAGCATTTTGAAAAGAGGTGGCACCTCCCTGGCAGTTTTTTTTTTTTTGCCTGTGCAATGCTTAAAAATTCTCTTTCTATAATATCTCTCCATTGCAGGTTTAAATCTTGCAGCAAAACCCTCTGTGGTGGGAAAAACATGTGCACAGGGAATATTGGGGCAGGGAGAGAGCCTGGACAAGCACCTTTGGATGCTCTTCCTGTGCCACTGGCATGATTTATTCAGCTGCAGCCCAGGGGAATCACAGGGACCTGCTGGCCTGATGTTTAATTCATCCAGGAGAAGTGTTTTGATGAAGACTTGGGGAAAAAAAAAATCCCTTTTTAACTCAAGTGCTTAGATTTCAGTTTGGTTCCTGAATCCTCATTAAAACTCATCTTGTAGCAAGATGCTTCTTTTTCATTTCTGGGGGGCAAAAAAGCAAATTTTGGTTCAATGGGCATGTCCCTTCTTGTGGTGGAAATCAGCTGGGTGAGGAATATGGGTTTGCAAGGGAATTGATGAGTGGCAGGGTTTTTTTTAACTTTCAGTTGAGAAAATCTTTTTATGAGGTTTGGAGTATTTTAAATATATTTTTTTCAGGTAAAAGTGTTTTCCTCCTAAAGCACACATTGAAATTGGTCATGGTGTCATCACTACATGCCCCAACAGTGCCATTACCCCTTGCAAAGCATTGACAAAAAAAAAATTGGTATAAAAAATACAGATCCTGGGAGAAAATCTGCATTTATGCAGATTTAGTGGAGCAGGAAATGGGTTTTGGATGCTCCTATAAGTGCTAGGTTTTTATCACTTATCCCACTCCCATTTTGAGTTGGTTCTGCTCATTTTTTGGGTTGCCCATCACCATTTTCAAGCAATTCTCTCCCCATTCCTTTTGCCCTGACAGGTGAACCTGGATCTCACCTCCCTCCTTGATGGTGAGGACAAGAAGTCCAAGAACAAGCGGGGGGTCCTGCCCAAACATGCCACCAACATCATGCGCTCATGGCTCTTCCAGCATCTCATGGTGAGCACCTCAGCCACCAAAACACCCTGAAACGTGGGGAAAAAAGGACAAAAAGTCCAGAAATCCTCAAATCCAGGTGGTGAATTGTCTGAATGTGTGCTTGGAGGTGCAAAGTGGTTTGAATTTTGGGAGTATTTTGGGAATTACCATTGTCACTGCAGGTGGGAAAAAATATTCCCTTAAGGCAAGAAGAAGCACACAAATCTAGAAGGGGACTCCTGGGAGTTTTTGAAGATGGATAATTGAGCATTTTTTTGCAGTTAACAGCTCCAAAATATCCTTTTCTAGCAAGCTGGAATGTGAGAGCTGCTCACAGGTAGGGTTGTAGCACATCAGCCGCCAGTCAAAACACAGAATTGCAAACTCACCCTGATTTGGGGGATTGGAGATGGAAGATGGAGGGAGCTTAGATGCAAACTGGATATTTTTGTGCGTGAAGAGTTCTCTCTCATCAGCAGGGCTGGGAGAAGGGCAAAAAGCCAAAAATCCCATATTTTTTCCTGCATAATTCTGCCAAGAAATCACTTGGAAACTGAAACTGGTAGCAAAGTCTGGCTCTCCAGGAAGATAGAGTGGTGGGAGATCCCCAAGGCATCAGTAATGCAGAAGGTAACAGCTCCAAGAAGCAACTTGTGGAAAAATCAGCCAGGACATGAAGCAGCAGCAGCAGAACTTCCCAGCCTATTTTTAAAATTGAAAATTCTGGATTTATTACAATGAGGACAAGAATGTTGCTGTGTCGTGCATCTTCCGTGTTTCTGGAGGGCACAACTGCAGATTTGCAGGCACAAAAAGGATGTTAAAGACCAGAAACTGCAGAGCAATTTTCTGCCAAGTGCTAGGAGAATCACATAGTTTAAGATTTCCAAAATGGAATTGAAAAATTGAAAGAAATTATTCTGCTGGATGGTTGGATCTTTGGTCTCAGCCTGGTCCTTATGGTCAGAAGAAATTTGGGCTTTCCCATGAGATTTCTCCACCTGGTGTCAGAGATTATGTGGTTTTTAACCAAAAATTCTCATCATTTTGCTGGAAGTTTTGTAGCACCAGCAGGAGGAAAGAATGCTGGAAATAATACACCAAAAATGGGATATTTCTGCCCAAAAATGGTGATTTTTAACCACTGAGGCCCAAGCAGGAAGTGAATCTTCAGTGTGCATTGACTTTGGGTGGTATTGCCAAGGAAATCACAATTTTGGGGGCTAACAGCTGAAAAAGAAGTAATGGTAATTGTCACTGGCTTGGGGCTCCAAAACATGGCTTTGATAATAATTTCATTTCTGGGGCTGGAAAAGAGCATTTTAGCACATTTGGAAGGAGGTTGCTGAAGCTTTCAATGCTGCTGTTTCCCAGTGCAGATGTTTCAGGGTGTTTCATTGATGTCTCTGACAATAAAGCAGCAAAAAGCTCTTTTGAAGCACAAATCTCATGTTTACCAACAACCATCACCGGAAAATTGCTAGAGTTTAAAAAGCCCCAAGAATATTTTCCTTCAAGGAAAGCATTTGATGGAAAGCCTTGGAAAAGCCCTAAGTGCACCCAAGGAAATCTTGATGCTCTTGAATGCCACCCTTCAATCTTGCATTCAGCAAATGCAAGAAGGACAAAATTTAGGGTGGGAAAGAAAAAAAAAGGCAGGTTTTCATTATTTTTCACTCAGGGATGACATTTTGCATGCAGGGATGCAGTCTGGCTACCCCATCTCTCTTTTTTTCCAGCACCCCTACCCCACAGAGGATGAGAAGAGGCAAATTGCTGCCCAAACCAACCTGACCCTCTTGCAAGTCAACAACTGGTGAGCAGATACTGGTGTCCCACTCAGTCATTTTGCTGGCTTTAGGACATTTTCCACCCTCTTTTGGTGCTGTATAATGCTTTTTTGGGGAGTAACTTGGGTGGTTAAGGCTGATTCTTGGCGTGTCCTGCACAGGGCCGGGAGTTGGACTCAATGATCCTGGTGAGTCCTTCCAACTCAGCCTATTCTGTGATTTTGTGACTCTGGGATTTCTGGGAGATCAGCTCAGTGGTGTTTAGTGTCAGGACTGGTTTGCAAGGTCTCAGTGCCCTCTCCTGGCAAATCCAACGTGCAGCATTCTCCCAACTCAGCAGGAAAAACTAATGCAGAGCCATAATGTGACTGTCTTGGTTTGGAAAGACAGGAGTCTGCTTCTGAGGAAGGCAGGAGCCTCCCCTGAAATGGAGAATTTAAATCCTCCCCACCCCTCTGAATTGCTACAACTTTTAAATTAAGGGGCTCTGAGGCAAAAAATGTGGGAGCAGGAAATAACAGTTCTTTAAAAGGGAAGAAAATAAAAGGATAAAATAAGCAATGCAGTAACTAAACCAACCCTGACAGAGTCAGAACCCAGCCTGACACCCTGTGGGTCAGGGTGTTGGCAGCAGTGCCATTGGAATTGTGGCTCAGCCCTCCTGCAGTGTCAGGGCTGGTTCTGCTGGAGCAGGGATCCTGGAGAAAGGTGCAGTCTCTGCCTCTGAAGATCCAGGGGAAGAGGCAGCTGCTGCTCCTCTGGGGAATCCAGTGGAGAAGCCATGCTGGTGTTCCAGAATCTCCAGATTATATCCAGGCAGGAATGCTTGGCTGGTGTTCCAGAATCTCCAGATTATATCCAGGTAGGAATGCTTGGCTCCTCCCTTTGGGCTCACATCTCCCAATGGGATGCTGTAGCTCTTATCAGCCATGCAGGGACATTCAATAGCTGTTATCAGCAATGTCCCCTCCCGAGGGAGGTGTGAATGTGGTCACTCAAAGAGAGAGATAAGGCAAACTGCCCACTTGACAAAAGACAACTGCCACACAGACGGTAATGGAATTCATCTTGCCTTGCAATCTGGGACAGTGGCATAGGCAAATAAACAAACCCCCAGCTTTTTGAGCCATGAAGCTGCTTTCTTAAAGTATTGTCTTGTTATTATTATATTGCAACCCATTGATTTGCCATAGCGTTGTGTTGACTTGGTGCTGGTGCAACAGCTCTCACTCACTGCAGTGCTCTCTCTTTCCCATGGAAGGTTCATTAACGCCCGGCGGCGCATCCTGCAGCCCATGCTGGACGCCAGCAACCCGGACCCAGCCCCCAAAGCCAAGAAAATCAAATCCCAGCACCGGCCCACGCAGCGGTTCTGGCCCAACTCCATCGCCGCCGGCGTCCTGCAGCAGCAGGGGGGCAACGCAGGGACAAACCCTGATGGTAAGGACAAGCCCCAGAGTGGCCCTGCCCTTCTAGGCCATGCATTAATTGTGGACTTAATTGGTAATTTCTAGAGGCCTTTATTGAGCTGTGGGGAAACACAAGAGGTTCTTGCAAGAAGGTCCTTCCAGTTGGCCACCAGAATGATGATCACCCACTGTGGGGCATGGCCTGGGTCAGCTCCTGAGCAGCTGGGGAAGGGAGAGAGGGGATATGTGGAAAGGTGGAGATGAGAAGACAGATTGAGACAAAATGGGAAGAGAGAAGATGAAGATAGATGATGAAAATGAAGAGAAGAATAGAGAAGGTGATGGTGATGAAGAGAGATGATGAACAAAGAACAGATGAGGAAAATGAAGGGAGAAGATGAAGAGAAGGTGAAGAGAGCAGAAATGAACATACGCCAGACGAGATGAAGAGAAGGAAAGGTTGGACTTCAGAGAAGATGAAGAGAAGACCTGCCCAACCAATTTGGGCATCTACTTGCTCAGAACTAAGGTTTCCTGTTATTTAATGATGCATTAGCTAAAAAAAATTAAAGACTGGACCTTGGGGAGTGAGTGGGGTAGGTGGGACACCCCATGGGTGAAACTTTCCAAGCTTTTCACTTGAGTTTTTCTTGGTTTATGCCCTTTTGTCCTTTCTGTGTTAGCTGGGGAGTCCTTATTTCTGTGCTTTTAATTTCAGGCTCGCTCAGCATGGACAACCTCCAGCCCCTGTCATCAGCCACTGCCACCATGGCCATGCAGCAGGCGATGCTGGCAGCCCACGACGACTCCCTGGATGGCACTGAGGAAGAGGAGGAGGATGAGGAGGACGAGGACGAGATGGAGGAGGAGGAGGAAGAGGAGGAAGAGCTGGAGGAAGAGCCTGGTGGCCTCCCAGCAGCACCTGGTGCTGACCTTGGTTTGGACCACAGTGACTCACTGGAATAGCTCCTCCTGCACCCTCCCAAATCATTGACAGCACCAGATACAAAATTCCCCCCAAAATGCAAAAAAAAAAAATAAAGGCAAGAAGAAGAAATTAGTGAGAAAAAAGCAAACTGGCAGTGCTGGCAGAGGCCCTGGCTGCCCCAGGAGCACAGGGACCACCATGGCAGCGCCCAGAAGTGGACACACGTTTACAAGGCACATATTGTGGCCAGATTAATCTTTTATTTCAGGTTTTGTTTTTCTTTTTCCCTTCATTTTTTGGTAAGCAAAAGCATTTTTAGGGAAAGTTGTTTTCCCCATGTGACGCTCGGATGCTGGGGGGCAGTGCTGGGTGGGCCACTGCGCCCATCCCTTGGATTTCTTGGTGCAAAGAAAAGCCAAACCAGCCCCAGGACTTGATGCTTTTTGGATTTTTTTCCCCCAGAAAGGTCATTCACAGGCATAAATACTGGCATGGAGGGGGAAGAAAAATAATCAGCGAGTGCAAATTCTGCTATATCCAAGGAGGGTTTGGTGCTCCACTCGTGGGATTGCCCAAACCTCCCAACTTTGGCCCCAATGCTGAGGCTGCTTGGTGACTCTGGACACAGTTTTCTGGAAAAGGGAGGAAATTCCTCCAAATCCTTTAATTTATATGCTAAAACCTCTGCTGAATCTGGAAAAAATCCAGCTTTCCCCATTCTTGTCTTTAAGGGCCGAGATTGGAGGCAGAGTTGGCTGCCGGAAGTAAAACTTTTCCAAAGGCATTTTGGCACAGAGTTAGTTAAAAATGGGGGGAAAATTGGTTTAAAAAAACTCAAGATTTCACCCAAAATTGAATGGTGATGTGCAAGACTCACCTGGGTGGAAGGAAACAAAGTATTGTTGCTTAAAAGATGATTTCTCCCTGGTATTGTCCCTCCACATGGAAAAATGGAGGAGCTTTAGCCCCATGGGGGAGGGCAACTGCCAAAAAACCCTGTATTTTGGGTTTTTTAATTTTAAATGCTAGCAAAAGGGTGGATTCGCCTTAAAATGTGGCATGGGAGGAAATGCAAAAGCAAACCAGGGCAAAAATAAAAGGAATTGTCTTCTGCAGGTTCCTGCTCTAAATGTGAGATTCTAGGAGAAGGATCATTTTCTTGGAGGCTTTTTGCCCATATTGTCCTTTTTTTTTTCCTGGCTCTTGAAGAGTTGACAAAAGAACCTGAACAAGAGCTGGGATTAAAAGAACAAGTGATGCAATGGGCAGAAATGCCTATTTTTGGATACTGATCTGGCGTGAATGTAATCTGTAATTTCATAAAGGATTCATTGTAATTTAGTATTAATTCCTGGCCATTTATTATAAAGTGCTACAAGATGAGGGGTCGCACCTGTATTTTCTTGGCAGCTTCTTCCTTTGAGTGGAGAAGACCCAAAATGCAGGAATAACCCCCCAAAATGGGCAAAACTCCCCCCATAAAACTAATTTACCCCCAAAATGGGTGGATGGATCCAAGTTGGTAATTGAGTGATGTGGAGAAAATTAGATTTATACTTCCAAAACTGATGGTCCACCAAAAATTAAAACTTTCCCCCTCAAACAAGCACCAATGGGATTTTGCCCACTAATGAATGATGAATACCCCAAACCAATGATACACACCCCAAAATGAGCTGTTCTCTCCAAAAATGTGTGATTCTCCCCCAGAAGCTCCCCCAAAGTGTTCCAGACAACCCCAAAATGAGTGATGGTCTCCAAAAATGAGGGATGCTCTTCAGAATCAAATGATGACCCAAAAGGGGCTAATTTCTCCCTGAAATAAGTGATTCTCCCCCAGAATGGGTGCTCACCCCAAAAGGAGTTGTGTTCTCCATAAATTCTGCCCCAAAATGAGTGACATGCCCCCAAAGGATGGTGTCCCAAACTGCTCCTTCTGGAAATGAGTATGTCCTCCCAAAATGACTGAATTTGCCCCAAAATGGGCAATACTCTGCAAAAACGAGCAACAACCCCCAAATTAGGCACTCTTCCCCAAAATTAGTGACAAACCTCAAAACAGAGCAATTCTTTCCCAAATGGAAGAGATGGAAGCCCCTCTGTCCCTTAATGAGCCATTCCTTAATAATGGATTGATTTTTTGGGTGATGTTTGCACAATTTTTAGCAGAAAATGGGATCACGGAAAAGTGAAAAAATGGGAAAAATCCCCAAGAATGGAATTTAATCTGAATTTTGCCCCTCTGATGGTGGCAGCTGCAGCCAGCAGCTCGTTAGCCAGAAGTTTGTGTTTTTTAGTGATCCCAGAATATTCATGTTGGGATTTTTTTGCTTAAAAATATCATTTTCCTATCAAAAAGCTGCAAAGCGCCGCCAGGAGCAAGGGGAGACACAGACACTGGACACCAGTTGCCTAATTAACGTCAGGAATTCTTTATTCCCAGCTGTGCAAAGGGGGAAGTGCAGGGTGGGGCAGCCACGGGGGGGTGACCCTTTTTCCTGGGGTTTGGCCCCGCTTTGGAGGCGCCGGGGTGGGAGTGTGGGGGCAGCACCGCGTCAGGTCGGGCAGAGCACTGCAGAGAGAGACACAGAGAGAGAGAGAGAGAGAGGGGCTGGGGCACTGCACGGGGGCACCCAGGGTGCAGGGAGGCAGGAGAGAGCACAGGGATGCACAGGGGGGTGGGGTGAAGCATGGAGGGGCACTGGGATGCAGGAGGATGCATTGGAATGCATGAGCGAGCACAGGGATGCACAGGGATGCAGGATGATGCATTGGAATAAAGGAGGATGCACAGGGGTGCAGGAGGATGCACAGGGATGCATAGAGATGCAGGAGGATGTACAAAGATGCATTAGAATGCAGGAGGATGCACTGGAATGCATGAGCAAGCACAAGGATGCACAGGGATGCAAGAGGATGTACAGGAAGGCACAGGGGGGTGTGGGGAAGCATGGAAGTGCATTGGGATGCAGGAGGATGCACTGGAATGCATGAGCTAGCACAAGGATGCACAGGGATGCACATGGATGCACAGGAGGGTGGGAGAAGCATGGAGGTGCATTGGTATGCAGAAGGATGCAGGAGGATGCATTGGTATGCAGAAGGATGCAGGAGGATGCATTGGAATGCAGGGAGATGCACAGGGATGCATGAGAAGGCAGGGGTGCACAAAGATGCATGAAGATGCACTGGAATGCAGGAGGATGCACAGGGATGCACAAAGATGCAGGAGGATGCATTGTGATCCATAAGGATGCACAGGGATGCACAAGAATGCACTGGAATGCATGAAAATGCACTGGGATGCATGAGGATGCACTGTGATCCAGGAAGATGGATCCAAACATGCACAAGGATGCAGGAGGATGCACTGGAATGCATGAGGATGCACAGGGATGCAGGAGGATGCACTGTGATCCAGGAGGATGCACAGGGATGCAGGAGGATGGACAGGGATGCAGGAGGATGCACAGGGATGCAGGAGGATGCACTGTGATCCAGGAGGATGCACAAGGATGCAGGAGGATGCACAAGGATGCATTGCAATGCAGGAGAATGCACTGTGATCCAGAAGGATGCACAGGGATGTAGAAGGAAGCAATGGAATGCAGGAGGATGCACAGGGATGCAGGAGGATGCACAAGTGTGCACGGGGATGCACAAGAATGCACAGTGCAATGCTGCATGAGGGTGCACAGTGACACACAGGGCTGCACTGGGCTGCATGTGCATGGACAGTGGTGCCCAGGGGTTGCACAAGGACAGGAGTGAGCACAGGGACAGCCAGGAGGGCACAGGGACACAGGAGTGTGCCCCACATGCACAGGGGTTCAGGAGCAGAAAGGCTGCACGAGTGTGAACAAGGCACCTGGGCACATGAGGGTACAGAAATGCTGCAGGAGGCCGCACACGGGATGCAGCAGGAACATGAAGGGGATGCACAAGGGATGCACACACAGAGCTGTGCACAGCAGGAACATGAAGGACACACGAGGACTCAGGAGGATGCACAAGAGATGGACAAAAGGGGTGTGGGAGATGCACAGGGATGCACAAGGACACCCAGGAGATGCCCAGATGGATGGGGATGCCCAAGGGACACACAAAGGATGCAGTGGGAGGCAGGAGAATGCAAAAGGATCTGTGGGGGAGGCCCAGAGCTGTGGAGGAGCTGACTGAAGGATGCACGAGGGGCAGGAACAGGAGCAGGTACCTTTGAGGATGTAATCCGTGAGCAGAGTGGGCACCTTCTCGTTCCCCTCCTTCATGGCAAACAGGACTGTGGGGGAGAACAAAGCTGTGAGCCTGGTCCTGCTGCCCCCCAAATGCCCCTTTCCCCCCCCCAAACCAGCCCCACAGCTGCCATACCATTTCCCCATACAATTAATGCGGCAGACCTGGGAACACCCACACAAAAAGGACCAAAAAGGAATTCCATCCCCATTAGCCAACCTGTGCCAGTGCAGAATGGGTGATTTACCCCCAAACCAACCCTGGTATAAGGAGCATAAACTGGGGGAGGTGTTGGCTGCCAACCAGCTGTGCTGCAGTGATGCAAACCAGGGATTTTCCCCACCAGGTGGGTTTATTGCAATGATAATGCACCTTAAACTGCCCATGATGCAAAAAATCCCCCAAACTTTTGTGCTGCAATGATACCCCAAACTGCAGCCACTGAAGCAAAGCAAAATGTGCCTTTGTGTCCCCCAAAACATGTGATGCTGACCCAAACCAGCAGCTTGAATGGATACTCACTGTTGGTGAGCATCTGCAGGTCCTCAACAGAGGGTGGTGAGCCCTTCTTCTCATAGGGAATCACCGTGTTCAGGTACTGCAAAAACAAAAGCCACCCCAAAAACCACCCCAATGGCACAAAACTGCCTGGTTTCTGCACTGTCTTGAGACAAATTTGTGGAAAATTAGAGTATTTCTGCAAAATTCCTGCAATTGCAGTTAATTTGCAGGTATTTTGAGGAGTCCTGAACTAACTGGGTGCTGCAAACTCCACCCAAATCCATCCCTTCTCAGGCAGGACTTTTTGGGGTGAAAACAGGTAATTTTTTCAAGAGGGGTTGGGGTTTTTTCACCAGGGTGTAGGGGATGGAGCAGGGTTGTAAAATGAAGAAAGATTTTAACAGAGGGTTTGGGGATGCAGGGGAATGGGGAGATCAGGGAGGAGGAATGAAAACAAACAGATTTGGGCAATTTTGGGGTGGGAAAAGGGCACCTGCTTCTCGTTGGTGGTAGGGCCAAAGGTCTGGCGCAGGCCGGAGTGCAGGATGCTGGAGATGCCCTCCATGCTGAAGCGCTGGGGACACAACCAGGTGTCACCCTGTCACCTCCCAGGGCAGCGACATCAGCCTGGCACCTCCCCTGCCACCAGCAGCCCCACAACCCCCTGCCTCCCACATCCACACCCTGCCCAGATCCCTGCACCCTGCTCCACAACCCCCCCCCCCCGATATCCCTTTGTGTCCCTGCTCCAAGTGCCCCCGTCCCTGCATTCCCCCTGTCCTGTGTCCTTCCTATGCCCGTCTGCCCCATACTGTCGCTATTCCCATCCCATTATCCCATCCCATCCCATCCCATCCATTATCCCATCCCATCCCATTATCCCATCCCATCCCATCATCCCATTCCATTCCATCCCATCAATTGCCTCGCCCCCATGTCCTTCTGCCCCACCCTGTCACTATTCCCATCCCATTATCCTATCCCATTATCCCATTCCATCCCATCCCTTCATCCCCATGTCCCTCTGCCCCACCCTGTCACTATTCCCATCCCATTATCCCATCTCCTTCCATCCCATTCCATCCCATTATCCCATCCCATCCCATCCCATCCATTGCCTTGCTCCCATGTTGCCCTGCCCCACCCTGTCAATATTCCCATCCCATCCCATCCCATCCCATCCCTCATCCCCTTGCCCCACCCTGTCCCCACTCCCCCCTGGCCCCGGGTCACCCCCCTCCTGTCGGTGCCCCCCCGGTGCCCACCTTCCGGGGCATGCTGCCGCCGCGCTCGGAGCGCGCCCCTTGCAGGCTCAGCCCCTTGTCCCTGCGGCGGCGCCGGGCGGCCTCTCGCTGCTCTCGCTGCTCGCCCTGCACGGCCA